TCATGCTTTCCCTGCCCACGCAGGGGCTGCGGCCGCCTGCCTCCATGGTCGGGATCCCCGTGTGCTGGCCTCGCTCCCCTCCTTTCCCCCGCACCTGCTGCCCTGCAGCTTTCTGCTGCTGTTACTTGTTTTCCTCAGGAAGCTGGGATGGTAAAACCCACGGGAAATAGGCTCACATGGAGGTAGGTGAATATCTCCTATGATGAAATGAGATTTTTCTATTCCTTGAATTTCTATGCAACGAGTAAACTGGGCACATTCTATGGGAATACGGCCCTTGGATTAATCAGGGAAGTAGAGAGATCTTGTCTTTGTGCTGTAGCAGGAGGAGTAAGAACAGTAGCCTAGAACAATACAGGTAACCTTCAGATGCAGTATCATTGCCACAAGGAGCAGATTTCAGCATCTGCTCGTGCACAACTGTTTCTCAAGCTTGGTGTCGTGTGTCCATACAGTCACCAAACTGGCAGTGTTCCAGGCTGGGACAGTATGTACAAAACTGGAGATGTTGGCTCTTCTTTGTATGTTTACAGTTACTCAACTGGAGCTGTCATTTAGAATAAGCCTATCTCATTACTTGGACAGGTACAACACTTCCATAAGCATAAAGTCACATGTTGCAGGTAGCTGACACCTTGTAGGGGTGGTGTGGTCTGGAATACTGACTGATACAGGTATGTAGTGAAAAACAGCAGTTTACTGCAGACTGCAGGGGTGATAACATCCAGAATGAACTTGGATCTGAGAGGTGGTTGTGCATAGGAATGATTGGTCTGTCCAGTTTACTGGTCTGTAACCACAACAGATAAACTCTCTGGGGAAATTACGGAAATGACTTTATGTACAGCAGTATTTAGAAATATCAACTAATACAAATCCATGCCCCATCAAAGTCATGAAGTTGGCATGAGACTTTTAAAATCCTGTGCTCTCTGCCTTGGAAGTTTTGGACTACATTAGCTTCCCATACTGAAGCTTTTCTCTGACTATGTGTAGGTGAGTAGAGATTCTTACTTTATCTAGAGGAACAATAATAGAAATACTAAATGCAGAAGTTGGCAATTAGAAAATCTGTCTAATTTAAGTAATGACTGAAAATTACACTAAGCAAAATCCTCTAATCTGTGTCAAAAATCACTGTGGGCAGCGTAATGGCTGTTTCATCCTTGATCTTACTTGGATACAAAAAAGTCTGTCATAAGTGCCTAGAGTTCTGGGTCAAGAATGATCATATTTGAACAATCTGATGCTAAGATTATTGCAAAGTCTGTGAAGGAAGAAAGCAGTAAGAAATGTGTTTCTTTTTTAAGTCATGGTAGAATTTCTGTCTAATGTGCAGTCCGCATTTACTATTGAGTCATTAGAGAATACTCCTCAATAGTAAGTCTGAAATGCTAAATGATAATAGGCAATTTAGAAGTCAGTTATTGCCAGTGCCTACAAGAAATGAAATGCTAATAGTAAATAATGTCTTAGAGATAGGAGTTGACAAGCATTAAAGTTTATCTCTGTTGTATATTCTGTCCAGCTACATGAGGTAAAGTAATATTAAGGACACTGCGGAAAAAGGGATTTCAGATGAACTTAGAAAGCAATAGCTGAATCACTGAAAAGATGATTTTGTTTCCAGGTATAAGTCAGTTGACACAACTGGCTTGTCAAAGCTGAAGCCTACGCTCCAAGGACCCGCAGCAATAGGAAAGTGCCTTGCAAAAGAGGAAGGAGTTGCAAGTTGTCAGAAGTTGTTTGTGAGACAGCACAGATGCCAGGAGACCAGCACAAACCCCCTCCCATTTTAGTTCAGAGGTAGGGAGCGCGAGAGCTCCCTAGGTAGGGTGAGGGAAGGCAAGGGCCTCTCACTCCTTGTTTTGGTAGCCATGTGCCTTTGCCTGGTAAAACAGCATGCTTGGAACATGCTGCTTGGAATTGTTTTACTCGTGGCTGTTTTCCAGAGAGCTTGTGGAGATGCTAAACACAGGTGGGCCCATAAAATTACCATAACTGGAGCCAGAGCTGTGCTATCCAGGGATCCTATCTGAAAGCTAAATACTGCCAGGGAGATCACACAGAAAGGGGAAACTAGCTAAGTAATCTGTTTATCTATTTAATTTATCTCTTGAGTGACTCCTGCCACCTCACAACCTAACAATTTACTCTGGTGAGCATGAAGGATTCAGGAGACGACTCAGATTGCAGCTATAATGATATAATAGGAAAAGGGAGAGACTCAGTGTGAAATGAGAGCAAACATGTAATTCTGCACAGGGAGGAATGTCTGTGGTGTCCTGCTGCTCGTGAAAAGTGGCCACAGCAGAGATGCCACAGATGCATCCCATTCTTGAATGGGACAACAAAAGAGATTAACGAAAGCTGTATTTCTGAATGTCTCAGTATTAATGATTTAGATTGTCATGACGGGAACCCAGACAAGGGAAAAACTCGGAGGCGTTGACTCTGATTGGTATTTGATGAAGTTTCTTGACTGGGAAGGAACTCATTTAAAGTCTATTCCTGGCCTCTTCATCTTAGATTCAAGATTTCTCATTAGAGTTCCCAGAAATTGAGTCACTGTTTTTTTTTTTTTTTCCCCTTTCCTCTCTCCTGATTTGCTTCCATCCTACATCTGTCTAAAGAGCTGCTGTCATAAGAATTACTGAAGCTAAAAAACAGTGTTTTATACCTTGTAAAAGCTTTGCAGCCCTGAGTCATATGGAGGATAAAAAGTGATCCCTCTGAAAGATACCAGTTTTTAAACTACTAAAATCTACATTTGACCTTAAAAGGGGGAGGAGGAGGATGATGTTTATCATGATAATGGGACTTAAAACCTAATTCCTTCTAGTGTTGTATGTACACAGTCTTTCATAAACAAGTGCAAGCGTGAGTGAGAAAGACAGTGAATTACCAGCAGAGATGAGCTGTTAAGCACAAGCAGCTGTGTTGGGTAAGGTTAGTTTTTTGCCTGTGTAAATAAATCCATTTTCACTGGAAACAAAAGCTGCAACTTAGGATGTATGTGGAGAGTAGGTATTTCAGATACTTGGGGTGCTCTCCATTGGCTTTGCTGCCCAGGGTTGCACAAATGCAGGTATATCCAATCTTTGTCACATTCAGAGCGAGACACTGGCTTCTTTCTTATTCCCTCAGACTTGTGCAATGTTTGTGTTGTCTCTGTGGCCAGTCTTGTGAAACTGAAGATACCTCTCATGTCAATTCCTCTTACGCCATTCATTCCTTGAACAGAAGCTTGAGTAACAACAACATCCTCCCGTCGTGTGTCCCAAGCCCACTATCAAAACAAGTTTCTTTATCATATCCCTTCCATCCATTCCTGAGTGCTGCCAGTTGTCTTCTGCTGCTTCCCATGCTTCCTTTCTTCTCAGGGAATGCCTTTCCTGAGGTGCTCTGCAAGCCACCACCCTCTACATGTTTCACACTTCCCTGTAGATCCGCTCCTGTGATGCTTGCAAAGAAACTAGCTAAGTAATCTGCTTATCTTTTTCATTTATCTCATGAGTGACTCATTCCTTCCATGGTGCCTGCAAGAAACTTGGTGATTAAATATATTTCCTCTTACTCTGGTTTTATCTAATAAAGCATTGCTGCATTGGCCTTCTCAGGTTCAGTGAATTCTAGTACACCTGGGTCCTGATCCTCTTTTAGATGTCATTCCATTCTTACTACCCATTTGTTGCTTCTCATTAAAAATGATTCTTCATCTTCTGTCTACAGATGCTCTTCTCTGCTCTTGACTTGTGTCTCCCTGACTTTAGTGTGCGCAGGAGCCGCCAATGTGAAGCTTATTATAGGGTCAGTGTGTTAGTTTTGGAGCCACTCCTGGCAAGATGCTTTTTATTTCTGGCAGGTGTCTCTTACCACAGTTTTCTGGAGTGTTTAAAACACTAATAATAAGCAGTTAATAAAATTATTTACTGTCAACCATTGTCATGTCAACTTTCACTACTTGCAGTTTTTTACGTTATATAATTTTCAGTGTTTTGTAGCTCCACAAAAGGTTTCTGCCAGATAAATGTATGACTGTTCATCTCTGTTTGCTGTTGCTGTTATTAGCAATTGCATATTGCGTTATCCACACTTTAAACAGATCATTTTACAAATATTTTAATTGAACTGCATTTTGATGGAACAGGTAACAGCAACCATTTAAAGAAATAGTTTTCCTAATGAGACAAGGTAGTTGACTGAGTGTTTTTATAAATGTACTTTGTAATGCCATAAAGTGAAATACAGAGGTGTCATTTTTATTCCTGCACTCTGTATAGGTATTTACTTCTGGCTTGTTACACTTGCCATGTTGTTCCAATGTTCAGAAAAAGGATCTCCCTTTTTGTGCAGGGGGTCATATCCGTACTTAATGTCCACATGCTGGGTATCTGCAAGATCTGTGGGCTGAAGTTCATGACATCTACCCGTTCTTCACTTATTACTGCTATTTCCTGAGGAAATGTGCATGCCCCTGGCTGTGTCAAGATTCAAATGTGATACCAGACTTGTGGCATTGTCCTAGAGCAAGCAAACGTTCATGAGACATAATTAATATTGCTAGACAGAACGGCAGCATTATTCCAATTATGAAGGCTCCAGTTTGTTCACCACGACCCAGAAGTTGAATCTTAGTATTCCCAAAGCATCTTGATTTGGAGAGGGAGGATACATGTGCATTAATGAAGCTAATTCTTGGGTTAATTTCCCTGCCAGATGGGGAAGGATTGCCTGGGGGATTCCTGAACATTATTATAAGCATTAGAAATTTGCTAGATGAAAAACAAGGGAGCTGTAGTTGAATCCTCATGGCTAAAGCCGACTAGCTCTCCCATTTGCAATCCATTAGTTAAAATATAAGTAATAGCAAAAGAGGGAGTAAAAATCACCAACAGAGGATAAGTTTCTCCAAAGAATTTTGGGATATTTAGAGAGTGGAGAGCTTTGAAATGCACGCCTAGAACATGCTTTCACTACAGCTTTCCTTTTTCCTGCAGTTCAGCTTACGATACTAAAACAAGACAGAAGGTGGCAGTAAAAAAGCTTTCAAGACCTTTTCAGTCGCTTATTCACGCCAGGAGGACCTATCGGGAGCTCAGATTGCTTAAGCACATGAAGCATGAAAACGTAAGTGACCAGTTAGTTCTTTCCCCTTCTGTTTTTTTTTATGATAAAAGCTTGTAAAACAGACTGAAATTCAGCAAGGTGCAATCTTTTTAGAAAATTCCCTCCCGAAAATTCCTTTGAAATTTAGAAAGTTCCTTCCTTATTACCTGAGATATCTGGACGTAGCTACCTGAGAAGTCATTGGAAAGACTGCATTTTTATGAAAAGATTGTTCTAATTGAATCTTAAAAATTCCGATAATGAAATCCAAAGCAAGTGGTCCAACTCCTGTCTAACTGAAGTACAGAGTTCTGCCATCTGCTATTGGATGATCCTGAAACATCCACCTAGGAAAATATTTCAAACTTGCTTTTGCTGAATTTAGATTCTGCTGAGAAATTAAGGGCAGATACTCTCAATGAAATGAATGACAGTGTAATATGCTTTTCTTACACAGTTCACTTGATCATCTAGATGAAACAGAGGAAAACTTCAGGCTCCAAATAACTCAGTACTTGCCTAAAATTATGTCACAACTGATTGATTTCAGTGGGAATATCCATCTGCTTAAAAGTAACTTGCTTAACTGAGACCTGAATATAATATAGTGGATTAAAAAATATCCTGGAGAAAGGATACTAAAAAAAGTTATTTCAACAGAACAAGCAAACATGTGAAACTGCACACAATCCTAAGTATAACAAGTGTACAAACCATGTGCCAGCTTTTCTGCAGCGAGACATTGCATTTTCTGGCTTGTTTTATGATTGGCTGAAGCCTTGTTCTACTTGCTGTAGTTAGTAATTTATGTTTAATTGGTCATGGAGATAGCTGAGTCTGTCTCTGGATAAACCACTTAGTATACTGGTTTTACTAAGTTTCCAGAATATCATATGTCATGTGTTTGTAATTTTCATGCCAAAAATTCTAAGCCCTGTTAATGCTAGTTTATAGGGTATGTTATATATTTCTAAAAATAAAGTGGAAATTCACTTTTCTTTCAGGTAATTGGATTACTAGATGTTTTTACACCTGCAACATCAATAGAAAATTTTAATGAAGTGTAAGTAACATTTTAAAATTATTTTGACTATTTAATGTGCAAACAGGGGTAGTACTGCTCTGATTTTAAATGCATTTTTTTCTAATACCCTTGAAGCCGAGGTTGGCTTTGTGCAAAGAATTCAATATGTCTTGATGTAGGTTTTCCACAAATAGGAAAACAAAAGGGTGTGTCTCAGTACTTTTTTGAGTAGTCAGTAAACAGATCCTTGGTACCTGCTAAATGTTTTGTGTAAGGGTTTGTTGCTTTAATGCCAATAAACTTAAAACTTGCTAAATTCAATTATATGTTAGCAATAGACTATTTTTTCACAGCTAGGTTAGATTCCTGCTCAGAAATGCAAGGAAGTATTCTGTTGGTTCATTTAGTCAAGATTCCTGATTGACCTAGGACTAGTTTTAGGTTCATATTCCTCAGATCATTTGTGTTGTTTTTGTCATCTGGTATAAGCAGTTAGGTTAACAGTTTAGCAGAGGTAATAGTAATTAAGATGTTTTGGCTTCATGGAAATGAGTGGCCAAAATCTCTTTGACTTAATGGAGTGAAATTGGGACTGGTAGGTGCAGAGTTATGTACCACTGACTTTGGGAGAAAACTTACATTTCTGCAAAACAGATCAAAAAATCCCCGGTTGGAGTGGAGGGAGTGCCTGTATTTTAATTGAACCTATGTTAATTTGCATCATCAGGTATTCCCTGGCCTCACAGTATTTGTCATTTGGGGATCTCAGACTTCCGTTTTTATGTAGGTTGAGACTTCCTATTCATCTCAAACCATGGTATATTCTCCCCTCATTGCTGTAGAGTGTCGTTGAGAAAACATAGATAAATTGTTAATGTGCAAGCAAATTTTTTCTTTTTCCTGACATTAGAGCTTATAGCTGATTTCAATATTAAAGGCGTATTAAATTTCAATATTGAAGTCATAGCTGACTAGAAAGAATATAAAATCATATGTTAGTTGTAAACGAATAAGAATCCACATGGAACTGTGTAGTTACACTTAAAAGGGTCTTCCTTGGGGGTTTCCCTTCTGTCAGTCTTAAACAAGGTGTGTTTCTTTGTTTTTTTTTTCTGTGGGGTGTGTATTTTATTTTCACAGGTATCTTGTGACAAATTTAATGGGTGCTGACCTGAACAACATTGTGAAGTGCCAGAAGTTAACAGATGACCATATACAGTTTCTCATATACCAGTTGCTTCGAGGTCTTAAGGTACTGTCTGAATGCAAGAATTTTAGGCTCCTCAATCAAAACGTAGTAATGGCTGGTTCATTGCAGTGACATTAGTTAAACACTTTTGTTTGTGTTAAGAGTACACAGATATTTGTTTCTTTTCATCAGTAGTAATCATTTCAGAAATGATATGATTTTTTTAAGCCAAAGATAAAACCCCAAGCCTGCAGATATTTATGTGTACAGTATATGTGAGCACACTTTGTGACAGTTAACCTTCAATCAATGTCTTTCTGAGCTGTTTTTGAAGGACAGGTGCTTCTTATGTGGTATCTAAAGTGAACATGTTCTGTAGCACGTGATGTGTTTTATAAATCCACTACCTACTATGGGCAGGATGGATGTCTGACGTGTAACATGGCAAATGATTCGTGTTCATATTTTGGAAAATACAAACCAGTCCGAAAAACTACAGTGCTGGTTTTTGCAGAAAGCTTCAAATGAAAATGCTTCCCAGTACTTGATGAAAAGTATTTTTTCAGACTAATGCTGGTATTTATTTTTCCTTAGGCATAAGTAAAAGAGATCTACTGATCTCAGTAGATGGTAGGTGATCTCAGTAGAGATCAGTTGCTTTAATGGTTCACTTTTCAGTACTCATTTTTTTAGACGTAGAAGACAGGTGTATGTGTGAAAGAAAACTGAAGTAAATCCTGGCTGTGGATCAGACTTAATAAATGGTTTTGAGCAAGTCATCTGATGCCTGAGACAATGATTCTTATTCATGCACCCAGATTCTGACAATTTAAGTGCAGATTTCAGTGAATAAGGATTACAGAACTGAGCCCTTAATTGCTTTGTCTCACTTACTCCAGTTAATAGCTTAACTAGCAAGATAGATTCTCGAATTAATTATCCAGCTTGCAGTCTTGTATAGAAGACAATAAATTGAATTTCTCCTATCTCATTAGCTGGAGAACACTTGAACCAGAGGATCAAACTCCTGGTTTACATCTGTGCTGCAGTCGTTACAGCCTGCGCTCGTGTACCTGAGTAAGCTTTGGACCCACTGCTGCAGCGCTCAGCAGTGCTCACACAGGCCTCAAGGCCTGCAGACAAGGCTGTCTGAACACAGGCAACTTTAACCTGGAATCCTGCAGGAAACCACTATATCAGCACGGTTAATTCTGTTGCAAACAGGGCTCTGGCTTCCCCTCTCTTACGTTACTGTGAAAGAGTCAGGGCTGTCACTGTCTTCTGATCAACAGTACATAGATACGGGATGAGAAGAATGTCATCATTTTTTCTTTATTTTTCCCCATTCAACATACAAGTTTTGCATACAGTCACTGCTTCTAAAACAAAAGTTAAATTCTCATTAAGAGAAGTGAATGTTTTAGAGATTTTACTTATCTTTGTGGTCAGTAAAATTATAGATGAGCTGCTTATTAATCCTAACAAGTTGACTATCTTTTTTCTCAATCTCTAATTGAATTGTTGTGCTTTGTATAAAACAGCAGAGGCACTTAAGGTTCCTCTTTTGAAAGTGGGCTTGAAGGGATGCTGTGGCCTAAGTGGGTATTTGAGCTGCACATCTTCCAGAGGTGTGAATGTCTCTCACCTGCATCCGAATGGGGAGGACACGGAAATGCTGGGGGCAGTCGTGGTTATGGGAAAGTGGCTCAAATCATCTAGGAAACACTGCTGCTACCTAGGCCAGATGTCCAGATATAATAATGAATATTCACATAGCAGAAAAAATCAAATTGGCATTAAACTTTTGACAGAAAAATTACTGCCAGTGCCTTTTTTTTAATGAGAGAATCCAGCGTTCATGTTCACCTCTCCTGAAATATCTAGCCCTGGGCAAGAGGAAAGTTCATCATGTCTCTGTTTGACTGCATTCTGTACATAAAACCCTCAGTTTCAATAGCAAAAAGACAGATGTAGTGACTTATTTCTCCTTTCACTTCTATCTTCAAATTTTATTTAACTTCTTTTTCTTCTCTACTTCACAGTATATTCACTCAGCTGGAATCATACACCGGGTGAGTTCACTCCTTGCTCTAATAAAAAGGAATGGAGCATGTCCTTACATATGTGTTATTGAGACATTGCTCTAATAGGCTTTAAAAGGTTGAAATAGTATCAGACTGACTCTGTGTGTTCTGGTGCAGGATCTGAAGCCCAGTAACCTGGCTGTGAACGAAGACTGTGAACTGAGGGTAGGAATCATGTTATTGTTACTGGTGTCCCCAGCATACAAACAAAAACATTTCCATGAACATGTGTTTTCTCCCAAATGTTAATTTATTGTTGAAAGAAAAGTCTTTGAAGAATGCTTAGCTCTACTTCCTCACTGAACGTACATACGCTTGTGGTTTGACCCATGAATGAGTACATCAGCTGAGTATGCCTGGAAATTTTGTATCTAAATTAAATAAGGATATGAGAAAAAAGATAACAAAATTACCAATATTACCAATTATATTATCAGTTATAGTCAGTAAAAACAAACACACAACCAAAACATAATCCTTACTTCTTGAATACTATTATAATGCCCATGTCTATGTGAATAAATTTCTTCCTGTATCTGCGTGATATTATATAATTAGGAATGAGAGTCTGGGGAAGGAATAGATGTCTTCTCACTTTTTAAACATAAAAGGCTGCAGAAGCTAGAAGTTCGTGACAGCAGGAAACATCTTTCTGTATGTGAATAGGATTCTGATGTAAACTTTATTGCAGCAACACGAGATTTCTGAAAATAAAATGCAAATATTATGAAATCAGCAGAAAATCACAATCTTGATAAGAGAAATACAGTTAGTTTCTAGGACTAATCGTGATCAGTGCTAAGAAACTGTAGTTCCTGTACATTTTAGTGAAAGTTGCAGATGCTCAGCTTGTTTCATATTTATGCCTTTGATGACACCTGTATTTATTGCTTTACATCCTGTGATACCATATTTTTGTAGTAAAAGTAACTAATGGATATTCCACTATATAATCAAAAACTAAATAGAGGCAAAAAGAAGGAAGACGTGTTTGTGCATGCACATTTGATAGAAGAGATCAGCTACTAAAGAGTCTATTATATAGAGTCTATTATATAAAGTGTATTAAAAGTGAAGATGCTAATGTATACCTTAGTATTTTTCATCAAGGCTGTTATGTCTCTAAATTGTTTTATAACTGGGCAATTTCGAATGATATGTAAAATTGTCTTACTCCCCATGAAAAGGAGATAGTGTCTGCTTAATAAATGATATTAGATCCCATCAGGGGCGTGTGATTGATCCCACTTACCATTTCTATTTCAAGACATGCAAAGTATCTCAGGTGAGTGACTTAATGAACAGCACTGAAGCTCGGATGGTGCACTTTGACAGAGCATCTCTCAAAGCTAAGGATACCTTTTAGCTATGTAATTAGTAGACTTATGAAGACTAATCCAAAAATAGAAGAAAAAGAATTGTGCAGGAAAAAATAAAAAAGAATTGAAATAATTTCCTATCATGCAGGCTTAGCAAAGGAGAGCATATGGAGGCTAACATTTGCCATGAAGCCTATGAGTAATGCATGTATTTAAACAGAGCTCCTTTGTTGTTTCACAACAGAGGATTCTGCTGAAAACAGATGGTAGGTGATTTAGAGGTACCTTGTTATGTAGGATATATGCCTTTCTCTCCTAGTGTCACAGAATGATGTGTGGTTTGAGTAAATGCTAACTTGTACGTAGCAACACTTAAATAGATGCGAGAGGGGATTCCTAGAACTTCTGGGCATTTCAGATTAGCTTGTGGTATCTTTAAATGTTACGGCTAGCTGCATTTGGAGCTGGCATTTCACATAAATGTCCCCAGTTTATAATGTTTCATCTTTACAGCAACAGTGCCTATTTTCAGCAAATTAATGTCAAAGGAAAATTGAGCTTGAGCTAAAATGTAAGGTTTGTCTTAGATGGCAAACTGCCTCAACATTATAGCCAAGTATCTGTGGCCACATTCCTCATTTAGGGAATGTCACTGTGATGCACAGGCGGAGCAGGTGAGCAGATGAGCTGCTCCTTCAGAGCAGGTTGCAATTTTCCTTCACTGAAAGAGAGAAACTGGGACACCTGGATAAGCTTGTAAGTAAACAAGGGAGAAAGTCAGCTCCTGTAACAAAACTAACAGCAGATTTCTTTTTGCCATTATGCAGATTTTAGACTTTGGTTTAGCTCGGCAAACTGATGATGAAATGACTGGATATGTTGCCACAAGATGGTACAGAGCTCCAGAAATTATGTTGAACTGGATGCACTACAATCAAACAGGTAAATTCTGAAGACTTTTGTTTTGCTTCAGCTGGATGTAGCTATGCTAAGAGGCAACAGCTTAATGATGTCTCGCATTCATCATTCATATTTCTGTCTGTTTTTTTTGGCAGTTGACATCTGGTCTGTTGGATGCATTATGGCAGAGCTATTAAAAGGGAAGGCCCTATTTCCAGGAAATGATTGTATCCTTTACATAAAATACAAATTCTGTCTAGTTCTCCCTTTCTTTTTTTATAATGACTGAAGTGTCTCTTTCAGGTAACAAACTTTCAAAAAAGCAATTTTTAGTAGTTTTTTAATTTAGTGGGTTATGACAGCTGAGCATAAAATCAATACGTNGGGGGAACAGTAACAGATGATCCTGAACAATAATAAGTTATATTTGCTGTTTATTTTGTAACTTGGATTTAAATAGTAGCCTTGTTAAACACACAGATGAAATCTGTTCTATTGTATTTTATTGAAATGACATATATTGAAAGCAAAGAGAAGCTAGTATTTTTGGATCAATTAATAAACATGTGGGGTTTTTTTTTTCAGATAAACATTTTCAGACTTAAAGGTTCCTAAAATCTAAATAAATTAACCCTTAAATAGTAAGGAGATTAATAGACTACTAGGCATATTATGTCCTATTTAAAAAAAAAAAAAAAAAAAAAGGAAAAAAAAAAGCTATTGCTTCCTGATATTTCATGAAAGCAACAAAATGCTCTCTCTTCAGCACTCTTCTGTGGCCCATGCCAGAGTGTCAGTGAATTCCATTGTTTTTTTCTGTGCTGACAGAGAGAAGAAGGAAAGAAAAACAAGAAAATAGCTCAGGAGCAAAATTAACAAAAGAAAATCAAAAAAATATATAGTGAAAAATGAGGAATAATTGAATTAGAGAAGAAAAGTTTTTTATATGAGAAACAAATTCTGTGCTGAATACTGACTTTCCTTACTACTTGGAATGAAAAAAAAGATCATTTCTGTTAAAATTTAAGATTAACCGTTGCAAAACAATATGAGATTAGAATTGCCTGCAAAGCTGTTAGGAGAGGGAATAAGAGAGTTTGTCACCCTGCTGATCTATGTGTTGAGCTCATCCTTATTAGCCTTTACAGTAACCACAGGCATTACTCAGATTTCATCATATGGATGATGACTGTGCTGTAGACTGATTATCTGATAGAAATGTCATACTTGGAGAAAAATAGTACATCTAGGTTTCTGAAATAAGATACTTCTGTTGTTAGAAAATGTTGTCTACGATTATGTGATTGCATCAACTTAATTAAACTATAAAATAACCTTGAGTATCTAGGGAAAATGTAATGTACTTTACAGGTTACATATGACAATGAAAAACGTGCGTTTTAAAGCTTTTAAGATTAAAAGTGATACAAAATGGATGTAAAAATCTATCAAATGAGAATTTTCTACTTAACAGGTCTCAGGTCAATAATCTAGTCCAATTTGCTCTAAGACTGTTCTTCAGAAATCATTCAGATCACTGAGGCATAAGCCTACAATTAAAACTAAGCTTGTGATTATATTGAATTAAGAGCTAGGAAAGGGCAACAATATTTTATATGCGCTTTTTTTCCAGAGATAGGCACACCCCACAGAGATGCATACAGTGCAATAGAGAGTACAAAACTCTAGAACCAAGCTTTAGCAGGTATGAACTGATGCAGTTCTGGAAACAGTCATGTAGTTGTGTTGCTCACTCGCTTAAATATTTCAACCCTATCATGAATTGTTTAAACCCAAAAGCTAGTCTGCTGTTTATTTTTTTTTTATTACACTCCCTTTAATTTTCCTGAAATAATGTAGATATCGATCAGCTAAAGAGAATAATGGAAGTGGTGGGTACTCCCAGCTCTGAACTTCTGAAGAAGATATCATCAGAACATGTGAGTTCAGAGCCTCGTTCAGTTAACTGATGTTCCATTGTTCCTTTCTGTAATTGCCATTGTATACCATTGGTTGTATTACTTGGATATTCTGATTTGGAAATGAGCAAATACCTTCATACATACATACAAATTTTATTTATTTATGCCCCTGTAGCTAGAATGGTACTATTCAAAAAATATTCCCTTTAGACGTATCAAAATGCTGTGACTATCAGGTGAATTAATTTTGATACTTTTTCTTCTATACTCAATTTTATCGGGAGCCCCTGTTCCTGATGATTTTATTTTTTGATACATTTATATTAAAAAGATGTTTAGCTCTTATCAGATTTAATAACAACAATCAAATGCTAAGTCTTTCATTTTTACATTTTCCATCCTTGTGAGGGGTGAAACCAGGTGTACCATAATCCGATAGTGTTCGCTCTGCGTGGGTGCTCCTGTTTGGATGGCTGATTTGAAACTGCTTTTTGCTCGTGTCTCTGCATGCTCGTGTGAGGTCGGCCGTCCCAGCAGCATCTGCATTAGCAGCCGTGGGATTTGTCACTCTCCATATAGCTTTTATGAAGGCAGTAATGCAGCAAATGAATAAAGCTGTGTTTTAAAGTTTCACTTTAAACAATATCTGTGAATGTTCAGCAAGGTTGTAGGGATGAAATGTATAATACTGGTTAATATCAGGTAATGGGCACAGTACAAATTCAGATAAAAACACAATGATATCAATAACTGAAGCTGTTGCTATTGACATCTTTCTTTTGCTAAACTTAACGTCTCAAGCATTTTTCCCGGGGCTATCCAAAAAACAAGGCAGAGCTGCTTTTGCTTGTACCATCCAGAAAGTTAGGTGGTCAGGAAACATGAGACCTGCAGGGTGTTTTTCAGATGATCAGTGGCCTGGTAAGATGGAATAAAGAGCAGAAGAAATAACAGTTATAACTTCTTCTTTCATCTTTCTGCTCAAGACTTAATGAAGAATATGAGCTTAGTTAGAAAAGGTAAATGAGGCCTGTCTGGTACTTTGAATGCTAGATTTATAACACTAATGCCTGCTTTTCAGCTCATATGTATATATTGATGAGTCTTCTTGGAAGTTGAAATGAATATCAGTAACAATAGGTCAAGTTAGAAAGAACTCCAGACCAATATTACATTTTTGGAAGTTCGAAGTGTAATGAAAAATCATCATCATAAGCCAGTGTACAGCTCTAGAGCTTGTGTCTACTTGTCAGAAGGACTGGGACAGGAAAAGGAGCAGCCTTCATGCTAGGGGACAGCACCAACAAGCAGGTCGAGTATCGTGCTCTTCTGAGCATGGTTTCTTAGACAACCTCTCTGGTTTTCAGAGCCTGTGACTTCCGCAGTAATGCAGTCAGTTGTGTGACTTGACCACCAAGCCAGTGTGAAAGCTTTTTGAATATGAGATTAAACATCTTAAAAATTTGTCTTAACAGCAAGATCAAAGATTTCCTGAGAAGTCAGCCCATTTTTCAGCTATAAGGTGGGAGGTAGAGAACTGGAAATTAAAGGATGAGTTTCGTGAGATGTTTCAGCACAGGGTACTGATCTGGTTTGCCAGACTTTCATGTTAATCTGGGTTTATTCTGCAGTTGCATCCCACTACTTTCAGGCTAATTTAAAACTCTAAATCCTGTTGGGTGGGTCTCTTTGATGAATATGGGCACAGAGGTGCAGTTGACAGTGTGACAGGCCTGGGTCATTTTCAAAGGACTTCTGGGCAAGGCTAAAGGTAATTCGGGCCACGTCTCAGCCGTGGTTGGATTAGTGTTGTTAATTGATGTGTCCGTATGGAAACAAATATCTAGTCCACAAATGTTTGTTGTTAAATAAATCTACTTGCTGCTTCCTAGGCCATATTTCCATGCAGGAATGTGTTGACAGTTCTCTGTTGCTCTGCTGTTTATACATATGCATAAACTAATGCCCTAGAAAACATTCCTAATAGGAGCTACGCACCCTGATTTTCCAGCTCGTGTTTGTTACCCATATGGTTTTTTTTTTAGGGCCATAAAATAGGTGAAGTGAATTCTGTGTTTTCTTGTTCTTTAACCATCAGGCTCTGTATAACTAGCTACAGCTGCTGAGAAAATCATCCCAAAGAAAGCCTGGCTATCAGTGCCCATAATGAAAAGGGGAAAATGCTAATACACTTTTAACAGATAAAACAAACATAAAGTCTTGCTTCCATTAGGGCTGGAACTTTATTAAGATTTTGAAGTACCTTGCTAATGGTCTAGAGTTATGCTAGAATTTACTTAGTTCTAATAAAAAGGAGAAAAAAATAGACTTGTTTTGGAAAGAAGACCGTTTTGTAACGGTTCAAAGTATCTTTATATCAGTTTGCTGTAGTTGCAGAAGAGTGACCTGGATAGGGTGTGGGTTTCCTTTGTGTGGCTATAGGACTTCATAGATAATAGGTCAGAGTATTTTATAGTAGCTTCACGTTATGATATGCAGTGAGCTGATCAGTCCTTAACACAGGTCCACAATCCTCCATCTCCTGTCTGACTTAAAGGCATGAAGTGGCTCGGCATGAACTTCATTCTGCTTGATGCATTCAGCAGACCAAGGATAGTTACTTACCTTCCTTAATAAACCCATGGAATTGCCAACAGGGAGACTCTTCCGGTAACACAGATGTGTGTTTTGAAAGGATTAAGGTCTCTTTGGAGACTAGCTGTTTCTTTTAGCAAGATGAGATTTCCTCTTCTTTAACTACTTTATTTTCAGAACTGCCAGTTCTGTCTAGAGCCTTTAGGATCATTGTACAACTTCTTCAGTTTACCTATAAGCATTGCCCTTTTGTATTCTCTTCATCCCAGAAACTCTTGACTGTCCTAATGGGCAGCATGATGCTCACATCTATGAATCAGATGTAAAGACAGGACTTTCATAGCTCTATTCGGATGAGCCTTTCACAGCAGTGGCCTCTAGGCAAGCTATAAATTCTCTTCAACTCTGAAGATCTGCACCCTGGGAGTATCAGGGAGTATTCCCTGTTCTTCAGCCAGGGAAACTCTTACTCAGCACAGGAGAGTTGGAAGGGCAGGAAGCAGATCGGATTATACTAGTTTGTTGAGGATAATAATTTAGGTTGTAGTTTTTGGTTAAAAGATAAATGCATCTGTTCCCTGGCAATATATAGCAATGAACCAGTTAGTTATACATGTTAGTACTTACCTAGGTTACTTGACCTAACTCTTAGAGCAAAATATACATGTTTAAAATCCTCCTGTCTAATGAACACAGGTATGAATGACTGTTAAAACAGTCGCACACATTTAAAGAACATTTCCTGGACATAAGAAATGGAACAACTGCTACTTTTACTTTTTTAGACTTGATATTGTCACTGTTGGGCAAAATCTAACCTTTGTGTGTGTGGTTTGTATTGATTTATTCCCAGGCCAGGAAATACATTGAATCTCTTCCCCATATGCCTCAACAGGATTTGAAAGCAGTGTTTCGTGGTGCCAATCCATTAGGTAAGAAAGTCAGACTGATAAAGTTCAAATCTTTCACTGCCACATGAACTCAAGTCCTGCTTTCCTATAGGATCCCATGATAATCATCAGACCGCAGAAAGAGAATTCTTTAACCTTTCATCCTGAGAGTTTTCCCTTCATGAAGCCCATGTGTTCTGTTTCTGATGGAGATTACAGGAGTCTTCTGAAAGAAATAGTCTGGGTGGAAAGGCAATGGGTGTTTTAGAAAGCAATTTTATGTAGCAGGAATAAATAAAAATGTCAGAGATCTAGAATGAAGGCACCATTTCTGGCTCAGAATGGCCAGGAGTTCTCAATTGCTGGCATAAAGGAAAATATACCAGGAAATATAGCTGTTTGGCCTTTTTGAATATTATTTCTTATTAATTTATCAGCTCCTGTGTATGACACAAGCACAGGAAATACTCCTCAGCTTCCAGATCTTCAGTACGTGTTTGTTATATGCAATTGCCCCTCTCTTTTACTTGTAGATTGTCTCTTCTGGCTTTGATGCGAGCTTTCCTTTTTCCCTTAGCTGTAGATCTTCTTGAGAAGATGCTTATATTAGACAGCGATAAAAGAATTACTGCCTCGGAAGCACTTGCACATCCGTACTTTGTACAGTATCACGATCCAGATGATGAGCCTGAGGCTGAGCTGTACGACGAGTCAATAGAAAATAAAGAGCGAACCATAGATGAATGGAAAGGTAAGAGAGGGCTGCACACATGACTTAAGTAACTTATTCTTAAGTAACAAATTTGCGCTATTTTTAACTATGATAATTTAAGGGTTTCCTCAAGGAGATGAGGTAAGTCCATGTGTTTGAGGGATGGGACAGGTGAAAAGGGTTGTCTTTCCTCTGGGTATTTCACTTTCTCTCTTCTCTTCAATGCTTGTTGCCTTGAAATATACATATACCCCCATAGGGGAAAGTTACCATAGTGCAGACTGAGCACCAGGGTACACTGCATAATGAAAGCTTAAGTGATGCCTGCAGGAACAGAGATGGCGAATTTCCACCTCAGTACTTTTTCTGTATGCTTTCTGTTAAGTATTTAAAAAAAAAAAAAAAAGACTCCAAGTAAGGTAGCCCATTTAAATGATATGGTAGCTATTATGACTTCCAGGGCACACATATTAATAAGGAAATCATAGGATACAGGTAGATGGGGCTATTTTATATTTCCTAAACATACTGTCTTTGAGAAGCAGAAGGCTGAAAGATATGGTAGCCTAAGGAGAAGACTGAAAAGAAATTTTCTTCTTCTTTCACCTGGATATGCATGTCCATGGATATGTGTGTACACTCTGTAGGTAGTTTTAAAAAAAATAAACAAGGCTTGGCCTATCTGTGCTTTGAATAGTCATATTAGACTGCAGGAACTGCTTCACCTGCTGATTTTGCCTAATTGTGTCTTGTGTGGATTTCTGCTGTGGCCCACAAATGTCAGCCAACATAAAATACTTTATAAAGACTAGACAAGATAAAGTTTTAACGGGATAATTTGGTGCCCAAAGAAGGAGCCTTTAACAGAAAGGTTGGTTGCTTCTTTCCTGGTAGATTATTAGGCTTTCTCAGTTTGAATATCTGCCCATTGGAATTGGTGGCCTTAAGGAAGTGCAGTGCCTGCCCCTCATTCACCTAGAACTGAGGAGCAACATCAGAGAAGAGCCCTCACTTCCAGGCACGTGTGGAGAATGTGCTCCTCACCTCCCAAGACTGCAGGCAGTTTCCATTTCACTTCAGCTCCTGCCACAAAACCATTTTTTTTCACTGACGCAATGTGGGAATAGGAAAATATGAACGAGAGAGATGATGGAGCTGCCTCTGTCTACTTGCAGCTTTGCAGGAAGATTTTTTTTTACATGAATCTCCAGCAGATTTAAAGCGCTCTGCACTGCTACAGTATTACAGGCACTTGTACCAGCTCTGACCCTCACCCAGAGCATATGGCCAAGGAATCTGATGTCAGCATGCTCATGCTGGCAGTTGAGTCACATGGCCTCTCATTTCTGGTGTGGCTTTCTAAATCATTTTTATTTCTATGCAAATAATACAGAGCAGCAGCTCTTTGCTAGGAGGTTAAGGATGGCTCTCTATCTGAAAGCAATGGAATTATGATAGGAGAAAAATTTTTTCCAAGTGTTTTTTTTCATGTGCAAGTTGCTAGTAAAGTTAAACTATAAGATTCCAAGCTGATCTGAGACTTATTTTTATAATACTTTACTGATAGAAGACAGTAGGAATCAACTGAATGTTTTCTCTTTAGTCTGAAAACCAGACCTGAAAATTGTCTACATAGATGTGCATTTTGCTAATAACTCTTCATATAGTCAAGAAATAACGATTAATGGCTAAGCCATCTTACTGACTCTCTCTGATGGGGATTTTACTTTAGGGTTCCACTCTACAGCCCATCCTTGAGCAATGCTGCAAGGGGCCTCCTGTTAGGGCTCCTGCCGCGCTGCGTCACGCTCGTCTCGCACTGGCGTGTGGTGGAAATGGCAGCAGGGCTGAACGTGCAGCTTCGGAGCGCGCTGAAGAGCAGTCCAGCTTCAGGACTGACTGCTGGGACGTACGATGCTAAAACCTCCAGGCTACGTATTTGAAATTAAAACAGAAACATTCTAGAAATTCATTGTTCCTCTTATTAACGAAGCCCTGTCTTGACAAAAGATGAAACATTATATTCAGTATTGTAAATGCTCTTCTGTTTCTGTTAGTACAGGCTGCCCAGAGAGGTTGTGGAGTCTCCTTCTCTGGAGATCTTCCAAACCCGCCTGGATGCCGCCCTGTGCCTTGTGCTCTGGGTGTCCCTGCTGGAGCAGGGCGGTTGGACTAGGTGATCTCTAGAGGTCCCTTCCAACCTCAACCATCCTGTGATTGTGTGATTTCATAACTGTTATTCTGCAGTTTTTAATATAAATAAACTAGCATAATGGGTAGGTTTGTGATGGAAACAACTGGCCTTCCGTAGCTTCCTCATGCCCTTGCACTGACTGCCTATATTTGTGCCATCCTCTATGCAGGGGACTGTGGGGGCAAGACCAGCAGGCTGACTACAGCAAATTCACCTTACAAAAGATAGGAAATGGGTTTCTGACACTAAAGCAACATTCTGGAACATCTTTTCCAGCATCCTGGAAAGCATTATTTAGAATCCTAGTGAGTCTGTACAGCAGTTGGGAACTGGCTGGTATTAGTTATTCCTGCCGTATGCTCCCTACACACAGCACTTCACGTGAATCTCATTTATCATGATCAGTGCTCAGTTTGCTACAGTGAATGACTTATTTTCTGCTGCTACTTCAGTTAACAGGAAAGTTTAACAATTTCCTATTCATGAAACAAGCTTCTGTTTGTGAAGAAACGCTGCCCAAATTATTTGGGGAACTATCTTAGCTTAACTCCTCCTGAACTGAAATGGGGAAGCAGAAGTGACTTCTCTAGGAGAGACAACGTATTCTGCAGCCGTGTGGTTTTGTACATCAGAGGCTTTGCTGGAACTAGGGGTAAAGTCCTTTATGCAGGAGAGAGAGACCTGTGAGACGGAGATCTCAAAACTCTGCTGGCCCAGGAGGGGCAGCCCTTCTGCCTGGCAGTATTTTTATCATGGGAAATAAACTTTCTTCACACATCTACCAAGTTCATGTAGCATTAAACTAAGAAAGCTCCTGTGCTCTGAAAGCAGAGAAAATACTAAGTCTTTAACTATGGCAGTTATTTGACTTACTAGAAGTTTCTTCTTCACTATTTAAAGCATTTTCTATTAGTATATCGCATTTTTTCAGATGTTGTGTTGAAGCAAACATGCACTTGGTTTCTCTGCGTTGAATAATTAAGAAAGCAGGTATTTATAGGTTTTTTTTTTTTTGTATAGTGATTCTCTAGCAGACCAAGAAGAAAACATTCCTTCAGAATTAAGCATACTAACATTTTAATGTTCTTTATTACATAGACTTAGAAAATTAAGAAGCTTAAAGTATTGAATTATTTACTTATAATCAGTTAAATAGTGTAGACTGAATACAAAAATAATCTCTCATTTCCTGGCTTGCTTTCCTAAAAAAAAAGTGTATTTTTCTTGAGCTTTTTTTAAATGCTTAAAAAAAATGTATGATTAGGTATTCATGGTTCCATATAGCTTAGTAAAACATTATCCTAACAAATAAAATATTTATTTATCTTTCCTAACAGAAAGCTACTGTCCTAGTAAAACCGAGTCAAGAGCTCTAGCAATATTATTAGTTTTATTACTGTTTTATGAGCATGTTTTAATAATGTCATGCATATATACCTAGATAGAGGATTAAATGTAGAGATTTTTGGAAGTTTATTTTTCCATTTTGTTTTCTCTTCACAAGCAAATTAGCAGTAAAAATGACTTAACCCTGACTATTCAGTGAATTTTTGACATCACATCAGGTACATGTGGCTCCTTGCTCTCATTTATTTATTATACACTAGAGCCTGACCAATCACCACAATAATATAACAACCTGTTCATTTTTTTCCCCTTCCACCACTGTTAGAAATAAAACTTAACTAGTGTCAGTAGCATACCTGAGAGGCCAGTGCATATGAAAGGCTTTATTTATAACAAGGATTTATTTATAAACAAATTGTTTATCACAATATTTATAGCTTTGCTTATACCAATCAACTTTTGAATGTTCAAATTCTATCCGTGTGTAACTGAGATTGCTACATTTAGAGCATAATAAAAATAATCCTAAGGAAACGGGTGAATAAAACAACTGCTTTTTTAATACAATGTTGCAGTACTTCTTGTAAATAAAAAAATAATGAAAATGTTCCTTATAGCATTAATGCCTGTAGTAATTCCATTATCTTTACCAGAACAGCCTCTCGGGTTGCTTGAAAGCAGCAGAATTAACCAGCTGCAGATTTGCGGTTTAAGTTAGTTTTGAGATAAAACGTGACTGGAACGGGGACAGGAAAGAGATACGCTCAGCTTTGTTCAGTCTTCCGAGAATGCTCTGGTTTGATTCCCATGAAGCTTTTAAACCCATTATGCTTGGCACAGTCACAACAAATATAGTCACCTTATTGTCTTGTAAAAATAAGAGGGCTCAAACAACTAAAATCAAGGCTCCAAGAGCGGGAATGGCAGAGGAGAAAGGGCAGACAAACGGGCCTCAGAGTATACGCAACCTTCAGGCTTGTTCGTGGCCCCAGCGTGGCAGCACTTCATGGCAAAGAGCAAGGAGGACACAGTTGTGCACTCTACTCCTGGGCACGTAGCAAGTAATATATTTTCTGCTGTGGGGAAATATAAATTTTTAATTTTTTTTATTCTAAATAAAATGATAGCAGAATTCACTGTATGCATAAAATGTTCTGTTAAGGAAGTACCGACCCAGTTTCTCAGTGGCCTCTTTCCTCTCTCTCTCCCTGTTCACGTTAAAAGCCAGTAGTGACGGATCCTAAGAGAGACTGAGCATCTAAAGTGTAATGTGATTTTTGGACATCCTTTCTCCAGAGCTTTCCTTGGCCCCTGTTAGATACAGCAAGGGATTGCAGCTTAGGCTAACCTAGGTCTTTTTCTAGCATATTTTTGTAAGTGTATTCAGACCAGTTCCTGCCTCACCTAACCAGTCCTTCAGCCGTGGGAATTCTGCACCTGGCCTTTCTTTCGGAGATAGGGCCAACTCATTAGATTAAGGTGGCACATAGGTCACTTGCATGATGCTGCAGTGTCACATACTCAAAGCACAAGCAAGATTTAGACCTAAGATTTCTATGCAATTTCCATAGCAGTGTCCAATCCACTCATAGACACATTAGCTCTCTCTGACTTCAGATTTTTCAAAATAAACTAGCTAATAGGCGTAAGTTTGATAAGCTTTAACAATCCAGCAGTATTTGAAAGGCAGATCCTGAGACAACGTGCCTTTAGCCACTTATTTATGTGCAAGCTGGGTTTGGTGCTTAAAAATTCATTAATCTAAGTTGAGAAAATACATGGGAAGGAGCAACTGACATATTTTTCCATTACTTTGCAAGGCATAAAACGTGACATGTCAGCATGGCAGGATGAAGAGCTATTTCTAAAGCAATGAAAAATAGCAGAGAACCCAGGTTTCTATTCAAGTCTTTCATGTTGAAAATGGGACTGTGTTGCATGATCCTTAGGTGAAAAATTATTTCATCCAAAGATGGTAAATTAGTTAAAATTTAAAAAAAATCCTAGAACACAAGGCATTAATACAGAATTTCAAGTGATTTATATTGCAGGCAATTGCCTGAGGTGATAAAGAACATTTTCTGCAGTTAAAAGTGTTCATTTTTAAACCTGTCTGAGAGCTTTTAAAGGTTCCATTTTACATCACCTTTTGTCTTTTATTACATCATTTTGGTAGGGCATCTGATAGCATAATCTGTGTTTCCATTAAGGGTCTGTGTGTTTTAGTATTAGCATTAAAGGATAGAACTGCAGTAGAAAAACAGTATCTGTGGGCCTGATTCATAACCTGAAGCAAAGAGATTCCTAGAGAATCCCGTCTGTTTGGGGATGGAGCCTCTACAAAGCACAGCAGGAAATCCAGACTGCCAGGCACATGTGTCCATTCCATTGCGTGGGCCAGGAGGATTGTCTCTTAAGGAGAATATCACGTCATTCTTCTCTCTTCCTCCCCCTCTCTCTGCAGAACTTACGTACGAAGAAGTGATGAGCTTTAAACCACCTGACTTAAAAATGGATAGCCTGGAAATAGAGCAGTGAGTACAGGCAGCCGTGCTTTGCCTTGCTGCACCACGAGGACTGTGAAAACGCAATCACCCAACTTAACCTGTGCTCAGAGTAGATTTTACTATCCAAAGAGGTTGGAGGAGATGCGGACAAGCAGATGCGTCACGCAGAAGCCACATGTTGTCTGGTTTTTTGCCTTGTAATATGAATGTATTCCCAATACATGAAAGGATAAAGAACTGCTTCAGTCGGACAAAATGATGCACTGAGTTCTGTTTAACTGTTTCTGCATGTTTCATTTTATCACTTGTACTGCCAAAAGGAAGGTGACTTTTTAAATTAAGTTTGCAATCGTGCATTTAAAGCATGAATGTATACAAACACAAACATAGAAGTCCATAAAAGCAATCTGTTTTCCCCTTTGTTTTTTCTTTTCTGGCATTAACCTAAGTTTCTGTGTTTGTTTGTTTCCATTTTATTTATAGTTAGTGCCTTTATGGAGAGAGGGTGTGGTAGTGAGGTAGACAGAATATGCATATGTAGTCATATCTGTGGTGGTCCTATGAATATACTGGATGTCTCTCAAATGATCTAACCCCAGTTTGAAGTCAGTAAAAATAAATCATTGTCTTTTGTTGCCATTCAAGTGTCTGTTCTCATTATTTTCACTATATATAGAGATATATATGTTTTCTTTTTAACCACAGAAAGCTTATGAGAACATTTCAGTTTGTGGTGCTGCTCCTAGCCATGCTGCTGGTCAGTCTGCACACGAAGGTGCTCCAGCATCTCTGTAGCTGCTGCAAAACTGCAGCAAAAGCTGCCCCAGACTCTGATGTCAGGATAGTGGGGTCAGGCAATGGCTTTGAACCCGATATTCCTCATTGTCTCATTTGCTTGTATTAAGTCCTTGGAAAATTAATCTTGCCATTGGAAGACAGGTCAGAACAAGGAGATTTAAGAACAGCCTGGCAAATTGTGAAAAACAAAACACCCATCTCACTGGGGTGTCCTCTTAGGCAAAATCATGCAGGCTTTCCAGCTCTGAAAAGGCAGAAAATCAAAATGTAAATGGTAAATTGCAGGATATATCAGATACAAAGATATGTTAAAGAATTACATGTAGCATTTCATTGCCTCCAAAGGTGTAATATTGATGGAGGAATATCCTTTGACATGAGGTTTCTTGAAATTTAATGGCTGTGTCTTATATCCTTCTGATTGCACAAACATGTTTGTTTTTGTGTCTTCTCGCTCTGTCAAAGTCAGTTTTGGAAGTGACTTTTTATATTAGGTTTTCTGCAACTTCATCATTAGACTGAGTTGTACAGGTATTAGATGAGCTAATGAAAATTCTGTTTCATTTCACTTCCACTTACCTTTTCTATGTAAATCCTTTTCTTAATAAACAGAAACAAAAAAAAAAATAAGTCCAAGAACCTTTTTTTTTCCAATTATACTTAACATATTGCTTGTCTTGATAAATAAAAATAATTTTATTTAAAATGATTGGTAATTTGTGGTGGAAGGTCGTTTTTAACATTTGCATATTATCTAATACTTTCAGCAGAAGGCAGTCGTTTGTGTTCAGCTTTCTTCAAGGCATATTAATGTGAAATGAATGCTTAAATAGATTTATTGAAGTCCTCTGACTTATTGTCTGGCTGTCATTCCACTGACTTAGAATTAGGATGAGGCTGATGATGGATATTCAGTCTTACTAAATTTCATGCTGACCAAAATAGGTGAAAAGGTTGTAAAACACTATAAATGACCTGCCTGACTGCATAATGAAAATGCTCATTCCATCATGTGTTAAACGTATAATCTTACACTTATTTACTTACCAGTTAGAAAAGAAATAAATCAGTGTTTTCTTTCTCTTTTTCCGTTTTCTCTCTCTTTTCTGAATTCTCGCAATCAGTTTGTCAGGGTGCCCTGCAACCCTGTGCTAGCTGGAAGGGCAAATAAAGAAATTCCATGAAAACTTTCTTCATGAAACAGCAGATAATTCCGTGTGGGACAGTTGTCTGACAGTCTCTTCAGTCTGCTGCGAGGGCGACCACTGCCAGATGTTTCAAGCGAAGATGTGAAACCTGCGTGGTGGGCAAATCCACACAGCCTGTTCTCACTGCGTGTTGCTGCATCTCTGTTGGTTAAAGCTGGACAAAAGGTTTTATCTCTCTCCCCAAATTTACTGTTTTGACCATTCAGAATCTTCTTTAACTGGATGGCTAAAATGCCCCCCAAATGTATTTGATTTTCTATTCAAAGATGTGTTTAAAAAAAAAAAAAAAAAAAAAAAGATGTAGTAAAAGAACAGTCATAGCTGCATTTGAACTAGTGAAAGTTGTCAGTAATAGATGACATGAGCTTAGCCACTGGTAACAAGTACCATCAAACAGCATCACTCGTCATCTCCAGGTGATTTCTCAGCACTTCTTAAAGCTACCAATTAAAATATTTTCCTAGTACAGCTAAGAGATTCCTGTATGTGTGGTAAAGTGATAAGGTTATTTATCTGTTTGCAACAGCGAGACACAGCAATTGTAAGGATGGTACCACTGGTACAGACACGTGGAAGGCTTGGCACTAATTGTGCTGACATCTGAGTGCAGATGGGTCCTTTGCCTGCTGACCAAAACAGGCTAATGGAGGTTATCCATTATCCCTCTAGGAGGGAGGATTTTGTGGTGGTGACCATATTTACGAGTAAATACAATAGTGAAGATTTTATTTCACTTGAATTTGTTGCAAAAGGGAAAAGAAAAGAAAGGATTGCTTACCTAGTCTAAATATTACTCCTAAAATTGAACCTGCTAAACTTTTTATCTCCTGATGCCATTCTTAGGCTTGGAAGGTTTGGAATCAGGCTATTATATGTTCTTTATACTTTGAAAGGTGTGTCATAGATTTTAAACCTACAGTAAATTACTGTACTCATCATCACCTGCAAAATACAGAATTAATTGTCAAAGAAACAGGAGAGAAAAGCTGTAGCCAAGGAAGCAGCCTGTACCTGAGCCGCTGGGCTGTGTGACAGAGGGAAACGTCGGCTCCTCTCCTCGCTCAGTTACTGCCTCATGTTTCCAACCTGGATTTACCTAATTGCAGCCTTCAGCCCCCAGAGCTTGTTACCCCTCTGCCCGCTAAGCTGAGCTCACCTCTGGTACCTGCACCTCACTCTAGTCAGTATTAACTGCAACCCCAAGTCTAGTGATGTTATTACTGGAAGCAAAAGGTCTTGCAGAAAAAAGGTCCTGAAAGTCTTTTACTTACATCTCTATCTTCTTACATGCATAACTATACAGTTCATTCATTTTAACATCTGTACCATTGTTTTTATGCCCTTTATCTGATCAGCACTGAAGCTCACTAGCAGGAAAGCAGTATCTCATAGCTGGAGCAGCAATACAGACAAGACTAAAGAATTTACAAGAGTGCTAACAGAGGGTATAACTGAGAATGGGACAGAGGAGGGGTGCATCATTATGGGGTATTGCTTGCCATAATAAACAAAATCAAAAAAAAACCTCAAGTGTCCACACAAGTATGAGACATCAGGCTTACTAATGACTTTGGGAATTTATTGAAAAAAAAGTGATACATTAGGTAAACCATACTGTGATGTAAGGTCAAATATCAGGCAGCAGTAGGTCAAGGAGCCATTAACTAGGTGGCAAAGTTGCAGAACTGCCATTTGTGGCGTATGTCTATTTTTAATTCAGTGCAAAAGGTGAAAGCGAGAGGAAGGGAGGCTGACTGCAAGGAGAAACACTGCGAGATGGGACACTGAGCGAACAAGTGCTCGGTGTCTCAGGACAGGAAGGGGACAGCRGCTTCAAGAATAGGATGTTGGCAACGAAAATGAGCTTTGCAGAGGTGGGAGCAGTCAACACAAAGGCCACTTCCTTCCTTTCTTCCTGTCATGTGTGCCCCTCCATCAAGAGCTTCCTGATTCTCAGAGCCTGGTCCAAGATGAATCTTTGCACAAGTGCCATAGTTAAATACTTGAGCAGCCTTTGCTGCATTTACTGTACAAACTGCTGTCTTGGCTCAGGAATGTCCAACAAATCACAGAGTCGCAGGATGGTTGAGCTTGGAAGGGACCTCTAGAGACCATCTAGTCCAACCCCGGCTGCCCCAGCAGGGACACCCAGAGCAAATGACTTGGTGACAGCTCCTGCTTCCAGGAAATTTTTTTAATACCCAGGATGACTAGCAAAAAAATCTGGGGGGAAATTCACTGTGTATTGGATAAATCATGCCTGCTGTTAGAAGAGAAAGGAATTCAACACAGAGAGTAACAACTAGTGTCAACAGCTCCATTTTGCTTAAAAGTAGGGGATACAGAGTTGTTTGTTGCTTTTACATGTGACCCATGTATTGTAGCATTTACAGGCATAGTGCAGCTCTCTAAGGCTGATTCTTAGAAAATCAGCACACTCTCCCCGAGTGGTACCGAGTGTCATTAATTTATGAGTCTTTGACATTCATTTCCAGCACTGAGTGCAGTGTGCATGACTAACAGGGATCCATGCAAGCAGGCAACGATTATGGGACTAGTATCAAGAGGCTCAGAAACTGCATTAGTGCAGCTGCCACTGACCTCGTTTTTGCTGTAGTATAAAATATTGAACTAATGTGCCTAAATGGGTCTGTTTGCACTAAAAAAGATGGCGTGTCCTGTGAGCTTCCTATACAAATGTTGATCTTCTAACGAATATAATCTGCTAAACAGTAAGTCCCTACATAATGAGTGAAACTGTTCAATTAGGTTCAATCCTGCATGCAGACAGATGCTTAATTTTGCATTTACATAGTCCCCCAGCTCCTATTACTGCCATGAATTAACGCGCACATTGCAGCAGAGCAGCTTTAGCTGGAATTGTTGTCCTTTTAGCTTCCGCAGCCTAAAAGATCTGAATTAGATACAGATGTGATACTGAACGTGGGAGCAAGTACTGAATCTCAGTGGCAGCCCTCAGAAAAAAACATTCAGTAAATCCAGCCTAACTGTAAGCCTCCACCGAGCCATTCTTTGCTACTTACAATGTTCTATAGATTAGCACTCTACTAATGTGTTCTTATTTCATGCTTGTGTTTTAGGAGAGCCTGAAGGCCCCTATAATGAACGGTAGGTATGTCACACTCTGCAAAACTGACAGAACACATGTGGGAAAGGCAGGGTAACACCGCTAAGCTTTTGGTTATATGAATAGCTGATGTGTACAACTGCATCTCTCTTCATCATCTTTGCATTAAGATGGAGAAGTCTTCAAAGCCAGGGTACTTGCTCCTCTGTGTGATACTTCCGAGATGTCCCACTGTGAAAATCCCCTAAAATATTAAATCCTCCTCCTCCCAGATACATCCATAACCCAGATACAATCCCAAAGTCTTTCACACACATCAGTTTCATTCAGGAACCAACATGAAGAGGATGGATAGGCAGGATCTGAGGGCAGTTATGAGGGTTACCAGCAACTTACTTGCACCTGATTCGGGTAACCCTCCTGCCTTCACTTCTACGCCACTGCCAGCAAGAAGGGATAACGGGGTAGAAAATACGCACTAGCACTTTTCACTTGAGCTAGTAGTAAGTTTTTACTCAAAAAATGGCCTTTAGGTGGCAAATACTTACTACTTTGTGCTTAGTACGTTCACAGTATACTTAGTTTCCCAAGCCTGCTTCGTGTTACATAACACGCTGGAATTGAAAGACTCTGCTCAGAGGTCAGAGAAAGAGACCAAAACAGAAAAGTTGCAAAAGAGCTGGCAACAGCTCCGCTGAAGGGTGTGGAGGCAAATGAGTATTTTCAAAAGAAAAAGAAGATTTTATTTAAAGTTCACTTCTTCCTGTTTTAATAACTCAAATGGACTTGCTTCCTCCATGGCAACATGTTTCAGTAGGCAAGAATAGACTGTGAACATGCTTTTCTGAAGAGGGAGATGATAGAGAGCTGTTTAAAGAAATAATATTCTAGGAAGGTGTCTTTGACGATCCAGAAAGTCTTTTTGTCTACTGACATTATATCCAAGTATGAGGGACATGTTGCAGATCTAAGTATCCATATGTGAATTAGTATATCAAGAATCAAATGAGTTTGTTCCAGTCCTGTGAAAAACACTTTACAGAGACACGTGCAGATAGTAAGGTGGAAAGATGCTTGATTTTTCCAAATTGTCATGCTTTATCACGCAAATCCATGTCGACAGTGTCTGGAGTGGAGGACCAATGTCACTAGCTTGTATCTCAATCACAACAGATGGACCCACCTCACTTACGGCCTGGCCGAGAGCCCTAGTTTATCTCCCAGTTAATCTGAACCATTTTAGTACTGTTTATAAATTGTTTGTTCAGAGTTGAGTTACCATCAAACTCTCTCACCAGAGTTTATAACTGCTTTTCCTCTGCAAAACTCCTCAGGAAAACGTAGTTAGCTTCTTTGCTGCTCTCTTACAGGGTTCTTTATCCAGCACAGATGCCTTATGTCCCAACTGGAGGGTAAATAGAGCTATTAATCCCTGGAGGGATTACAACGGCTACTGTACACATCCTATGTGGGTTGTGTGCTTTGCAGCTGATGGCGACCTTCCAACAGATTGAAGGTGGCTTTTAAAAATCAAACAAAACAAAACAAATGTGTCCTCATGGTAACAACCTTGCCAACCTTCTCTCTACAGAGCAGGCATTAAGAAAGTGTGATCTTCCCATCATTAATTATCATTTAGTCATGCTGTCATGATGGGCTTACTCTGTTACTCCTTTTTGCTCTGCAGTCTTTACAATAAATACATGCCGAAAGCAGAAACAAAGCTCTCCTTTTTAAAGCCCTGTCAAGGACACTTTGCCTGGGTTAAGGTATGGTGGTATGGTATTAGTCTCACTGCAGCAGACTGTCTTCAGGAAAACACAACGCCAAATATCCACCCAGGAAAAGCAGGATACTGAGACTCTGTCTTTTTGTGGCTCTACTATGAGATCTAGATGCTGTGGATATATCCAAGTATCACCAGAAACACACATGAGGATTTTATTAGACCAATTTTCCCTTCTTATGACAGTGCTGTGTGTGTGACCTGATAGGGAGAGCTGATCTTGTATTTGACCTCTGCTAAGCTGATGTTACCTTGATGATGGCTTAGTACTTTCATCCTACAGTATCAAAATGATCTGCTTTCTCCCTTGAAAATAAACAATAACAAACCATCATTTTGCCAGACTGTGGAAAAACAAGCTAGGGATCAATGTCAGAATTGATTCTCATTGTATTAGAAACATATATTTTTACCTTGAAAAAAATAGAATGGGAGGCACCATGTATTTTACTCCAGCCATCATGTGAATGGCAAACACTGCATAAAAGTGGTATTAGAAATTGAAAAAAAAATCTTTGGAGACTACGATGTTTTTAAAAACAAACCCGTATCATTAACTAAACACTTGAGACAAGGTTTGCATTACCTGTCAGACGGCAGATCCATTTCCAGCCCCACTAAAACAGGAAGTCAGGCGGGTCATCCACCGGCAGAGAGCGGCCCTGGAAAACACGGATCCCGAGGCGGGATGTCAGGCTGTGCAGCTTGGCCTCCAGCACATCTGCAGCCCTGCTCTGCAGGCACCTTTACAGAGCGAGTTTCTCCCTGTATCTGATACGTGAATGATGAGAGGAAGAAGGAAGAGCTGATCTTCCAAATCCAGTATTTCCAACCAAAAAGGCCTGGGCCCATGGCAACTACCAAAAAGGCAGCAGGAACAATTAAACGGGGCCAGATTACGCCTTTCTAGCTAAGCCACATTACTCCATTCTAGCTAAGCCACACATTGGACTCCAGTGACAGCCAGCCTGAATTATTCAGCCGTGGCCACCCTGCTCAGGGACAGCTGGAGTCAGACACAGCAAAGGCCTCTCCAGACCCAAAAGTACAACTTATTTTTAATATTTTAAAGATAAATATAAATATTTAAGATATTTTAATTATATTCAAGCAGGAAAAAATATATATAAAAAAGGAAAAACATCTTTTGAAGTAGGTCTTTGCCTTACACGTGCTGGACAAGGCCTATTTTTTGTAGGAATGTTGAGAAGGTTGCTCTCCTCCACGACCAGCACTGCAATCGCTCTAAGCTCCTGTTTTATATCACAGCAGGCAAGCACAAGGAGCACCTGCGCTGAGCCACCGAGTCAAGTGTTGACTTGTTTCCATTTAAATGTATGAAGTTCTGCGGAAGTCTGGGTCTGATCCCGAGATAAGGATGAACCATGAAGTCCACAGGTGTACACCTTTGAGCAAAGGCAATTTGGAAGTTCTCATCCACCTCGCTTACCCAAACCATCATTTATTCTTCATCAAGCCAGATGACAGCCCCTCAAGGCTGCAGGGTGGAGGAGGAACGTGCACACTAGGAAGGGAAAAAGCAGTTTGTCACTTGTCTCTCATTTCTGCTCCTGCCAAACGCTTCTGCACACACTGATTTTTGGTAAAAAGTGGTCAGAGATATATCCTGTCTAGCCATGAAAAAATTGCCTCATCTTCCCTGCTTTTTTATCAGCGCTCCTGCTGCTGCTACATGTGCCCTTTGTCTCTGCAGCTTCTACCACAACCATCATGTATTTCTCTGCTCCGCTGATCCCTTTTCTTCTATTTTTTTCAGCAAAATACTATCAAATGCAGTAAAATCCTTCTGTGGCCTCTAGGAATATAACTGAGTGCAGTTGCCCTCCTTTGTCTGTAGTTTTCATTCCTTCCTCTTTCCATTTGTACTCTTTCCTATTACTTAACATGGTCATGTAAAAGTCAGCTGTATCAAATATATATATAACATCTAGTGCAAAACAAGCCCAGATTGGGACTGCAAAAGGTGTAAGTGCTTAAGGTGCATGTTCAGAAAAGGAAGGATGGGATACGTTTGCTTGCAGCTGCACAGCAGAGACCCTTAGTTTACTCTTAATTCACACCAGCAAAGTGACCTGCCACTGGGCTCAAGTTCCTGCGCCTTGGTGGCTGCTCCGCACTCACCATTGCCACAGCCAGGACTCCTTGGTACCGGCCAGGACAGCTCAATAGCAGCCAGGACCCCTTGATACCAACCAGGATCCCTCGGTGCCAGCCAGGGCACCTCAGTACCAGCTAGGGCCCCTTGGTCCCGGCCAGGACACCCAGGTTCCAGCCAGGGCCCCTCGTTTCCAGCCAGGACTCCTCATTCCTGGCCAGGACACCCTGGTTCTGGCCAGGACCCCTTGGTCCTGACCAGGGCCCATCAGTCCCATCCAGGACCCCCTCATTCTGGCCAGAACTACTTATTCCCAGCCCCGGCCCCTCATTCCCAGGTCCCTGACCAGGACACCCTCGTCCTGACCAGGATGTCCTGGTACCTGCCAGCACCCCTGGTTCCTGGCCAGCACCCCTTGTTCCTGGCCAGGACCCCCTGTTCCCGGCCAGGACCCCTCCGTTCCCGTTCCTGGCCAAGAACCCTCGTTCCCGGTCCTGGCCCTCCGATCCCGACCAGGACCCGCCGTTCCCGGTCCCTCGTTCCCGCCCGTTCCCGCCGCGCGGGGCGCTCCCTGCGGCCGCCTCGGGGCCGCCCCGCGTGTCGGCAGCGCGGGGGCGCCGCGGGCGGCGGGGAGGGGGCGCGCGGCCAAGCCCGGCCCCGCTCCCGGCCCCGCTCCCGCTCCCGGCCCGCGCCGCGTCGCCTCCCGCCGCGGGCCGCTGGGTGTCGCGGGGAGCGGCGGCGGGGCCATGTCCTCCCCCACGGGGGGCTTCTACCGGCAGGACGTGGCCAAGACGCGCTGGGAGGTCCGCGAGCGCTACCGCGACCTGCAGCCCGTGGGCTCCGGCGCCTACGGGGCCGTGTGGTGAGCGCGGCCGGGACGCGGGAGCGGCGCGGGACGCGGGGCTTCTTTCTTCTCTCATGGCTATTGTTATTCCCCCGCGCGCGCTGCCTGACCCGGGCAGGGGGTTGTGTCGGGTGGGGGTGTTGGGGTTGTTTGTTAACGTCCCGCCCGGCCCTGCACGTGTTGTGCGCGACGGAGGGGGCAGTGGGGGGGCGGGTGTCCCCCATTCCCACCCGTGTGTGTGTGTGTGTGTGTCCCCTCTGGGTGTGCGTGTCCCCCGGGTCCCCCCCAGCCTGTGTGTGTGTGTGTGTCCATGTGGGGTTGTGCGTGCCCCACGAGTGTGTGCGGGCGTGTACCCACTTTGTGCGGGTGTGCATGCCCCCTGTGCCCCCCCCCAACCAGTCTGTGTGTGTCTGCGTGTCCCCTTGTGGGGTTGTGCGTGTCCTGACCTGGTGTGGGGGAGTGTATGTGCATGTCCCCCCTTGTGCGGGTGTGCGTGTCCCCCGACATGAGGTGCGTGTCCCCCCTCTCCGGGGTGTCTCCTCCCTGAGCCCGTCCCAGGCAGGGCGGACACCGACCCGAGGGGACCCCCAGCCCTGGGCACAGGCCCCCAGGGTCTGTTTCATTGCTGTTTTTCCTGTATTTAAAGCTTGGGGGAGGCGGCTGCTCTGCACCACAGGGTGGGTGCTTTAAACCTAAGGCAGCAGAGGCTGGGGAGCAGCTTTTGGAGGGGGGTCCCCCCTTCCATTCACTAGGGCGTCTGGGTGACAGGGAGGCCGGGTGACAACTGTGGTGAATCGGGTGGCCGGGTGACAGGGCAGCCGGGTAACAGGGTGACCGGATGACGACTACAGCGAACAGGCGGCCGGGTGACACCTGCAGCAAGCGGGGCGGCCGGTGAGGACGACGCTCCCTTCTCCCCCACAGCTCGGCCGTGGATGGCAGGAGCGGCGCCCGGGTGGCCATCAAGAAGCTCTACCGCCCGTTCCAGTCGGAGCTCTTCGCCAAGCGGGCCTACCGCGAGCTGCGCCTGCTCAAGCACATGCGCCACGAGAACGTGAGTTGGGCTGCACGGCGGCCGCCCCGGCGCCCCGAGGGGGCACCCGGCCCCAGGCTGCCCGCCTTGGTCCCGCACTGTCCCATGGGATGCGGCTGCGTGCCGTGGGACGCGGCCTCGTGCCATGGGACACAGCCTTGTGCCAGCCACGTTGCGTGCAGGAGCCGAGGGCCGCGTTTCCAGCATCCTATCCATGGGCCAGGTTTGTGCCCACGTGAAGAGAGAAAGGTTGGGGAACAACTGGAAAAAAATGCCTTGGACAGATAAGTCTTTGTGGGATGCAGGTGGCTGGGATGAGGATGCTTGGTCCCAGCAGTGCCCGGTCCAGGGTGGGATTGGAAGATCACAGTTTGGCTTTAAATGCTGTATTTGAAGAGTACATGTGAAGAAAGAGACTTGCAGGTGACTTAGTGAAAGGACACATACAATAATCTAGTTTAAAATACTACTGATGTGGGAAATTATAGTTTTCTTTGGAGCTGGATGGATGAAAGAACGAGAGGAACTAGTAGTAATAGGAATAGCAGTTGTTGCCATTGAACGTTGCAGTATTAACGTGGTGAGTACCAACAACGGCTAGATTTGTTTGGAAGAATAATCTCTGGAATATTCTGGCTGTCCAGAAAAAAAAACAACCTACCTGTCAAAAAAAAAAAAAAAAAAAAAAAAAACATCTTTCTTGTACAGGCTTATGAACCTGTGTGCCTGATAAGCACACACAAATTCAGTCCAAATCCCACCAAAGCCCGCCAAAGGATGGATTTACAGCCATAAGGTCTGGAGCTTTTGTCTCCTCTTGTCCGCAATTCCCATTCTGGACAGCGTTCCCTGGTGCGTGGTGCACCCTTTTGAAGACAGTGGTGGTAGCACAACCGCCGTGTGCCCCATGGTGGCTTCCATGGCTGTTGTACTTTGGAAGTCCTCCACTCCCTTGGAGCAGAGTGACTGAAGGATCACACCGGATGCAATAGCGCTTAAAAAGGGATGTTTGGAAGCCCGTGCCACTCTGTTACCTCTGCTTGGGGTTTTAGGAATCTAAGTATGTGGAGGAGGTGATGTGCAAGAGCCACTTAGACTGTATTGCCCCCATGTATCCCTGCTCAGGATATTGTTGCAGTATTGCACTGATCTGCTGGTGGAAATCTTCCTCTTCCCTTTTTGTTCCTATTCCAGCACTACATAAAGGTAGTTTTGATGGTCCAAATTCCATCCAGTTTGCTGTCTTGCTCTCTTTTAAAATGGCTTCTGCTGTGGTTACACATTTGGTGTGGGATCCAGACGAGGAGCGTTTGTGGTGCTTTGTTTCCCCCACAGTGATTACCTTTAAGTGAAATATTTCTGTCCTGCACAACTCCCGTGTTAAGCGTGCAGTAATCATCAGCAGTGTGATGCACTCGCTTCGTTCATTTGTCTTTATGCTGTATTCAGAATACCAGGAGAAAATGTAGGGAGCTGACACATTATGTTAAAAATAGCAGCTCTGATTCTGCATTAAGAGAGCAGGAGATGCTGCTGAACCCGTGCCATGGCACTACAGCACATGAGCAGGGCAGGCTCTCAAAGAAAACTTCTGTTCCATACTTCTTTGCCCCCTTTACTGATCCCTGGAGGAATATCCGCCTGCACTTTGTAAGGAGAGGCTCTAGAATGACCATCATCCTGTAAAAACAAATACAGGAGTCATCTTTTCCTGGATTTTTATCTTACCTTGCAAGGAAGGTGACTCACGTGGGTCAATATACCTGTTTATTTAGGCATTTTCAGGAACAGACAACCCTGTTTGCAGGGATGACCCTCTCTCTTTGTACATGCTGGATTTTTGTGCGACCTAGTGGCCCAAACAGCACTTTACTCAGTGCAATCAACAGCATCTCATATAAGCAAAGGAAATGGTAGTATGGGACCTCTCTTCATCTGTCTGCAAACAAATCCTTGGGTAGAGGCCATGCGTAACACCGGGATGTCAACAGATAAACTGTTCCCATGGTTTAATGGCAGTTATATCCATTTTTGTGAAGGGCCTATTAATTGGTGGAGATGGGCATGTTTCACAAACATCACAAGCTAATTCTGACACCTAAGGAGTAGTTTAATGTGGATTAGTAGTTTAATGAGGATCAGTTCCTCAGACATTGTCTGGAAGGAAAGTTGGTTTCTAGCAGGATAAGCTGCTGGATCGCTTTGTAGCTGCACATACCCATTTGCTGCAGAACAGAGGAACTGGTGTAAAAATAAGGAATAAAATCAGCTGAGATAGGATAAGGTACTGCTTTTTTTTTCCACTTATTCATGCTGCCTTACAGTGTTCATCCCACCACAGCCTGAGGAGGTCTGGATGGCTTCTTTGGCATTAGTGTGTCATTTATAGGAGACCGGAGTATTTGCTTTTCCAGGAATGCTGCCTTTGTTCCCTGTCTCATTCCCTTTTGAGTTTGTCTAAAGTGTAGGGCTCTTAAATATCTCTATTATAACTCTAAATTAGAAGCTGAAAGACAATGAAAATATTGCCAGTGTGGCCCTGGCCTTGTCTCTCATTCGTGTGCTTAGCTCTGCATACACATATCATTCTGAAGGCAATGGAGATATTTATGTATCTAAAATTAAACTCAGAGAAGCAAGTGGTGGGGGATGTCATTTCATTTTGCCAATGGCTTGGATTTTGTTCAGCATTTGGGCTGGAGAGGGTTGTATGATGACCACTTCCGTTGAGAAGACAAGGGAACCGTGACTCATGCTGTTCCGTCCTAGTGCCCTCCTCACCTCTCCGTTTGCTCGTGGAAGTTCTGGAGGTACCACCAGGAGCTCAGAGTCAGAGGCAAGGGGAGATGGCACTTGAGAGGGAAGAGCAGTGGCTGCTGCTCATGGATTGCTTTGGAGGGGAATGTTGGTTGGGATGGTTGTTTTCATGGAAATGTGGTACCTGGGTGTTCGCATATATGTGTGTACCTAAACATACATTCAAACACACACACAAATTCAGTCCAAGTTCTACCAGCTAGAGTTCCAAGTGTGTTTTTGGCATGAAATCCTTGACAAATGCCCTTTAAACATTTCTTAAATTGAGTCAGTTAATATTCTACAGATGTTTTCCCTTCCTGGAGACCCTACGTGTAAGAGTCAGCTGCAATATTGGCTTAAAGACGCTCTATATTATGCTCATACTCTTTGCTCTATGTGGAAATTGGTCTCAGGTGTATTCCCACATCTGAACAGCAATGTATGTTTTACATTATGAGAACCATTTAGCTTTTTCCTTTTTCCTGCCTTTTGAAAGGAACTTAGGTGTCCAACAGACACCAACTCAGCTCTCGTTCTGCAATTACCTTTCTGAAGATGATGCAGGCATTCAGTTTTAGGGTACTTTATATGTTGAATTCTGCATTTTGGAAAAAAATTGTTGGCTGTTTTGATTAGATTTACCCAGGGTCAACCAAGAGGCAAAAGATGTTTCCTGTAGGAAGTTCTGGTTGTGAGCGAGTCTCCACTCACTGTGCCAGCTAAGAATTCACATCCTTCATGTGGAAGTGCCAGTAAAGGACAGCTTGGGGTTCCAGCATGAAGGTGGCAAATTTCCATAGGGTTTATGAGCAGAAATGCATTTGTGGCTGTATTTTTGGCTTGATTAAGTAGGAAATCCCTTTTGACTGCTTCTGCTGACTGAAAGCTTAGAACAACTGGGCACATGACAGGACACCAGAGGATTTGTGTAATCAGAAGCCAGTAAATCCATGCAGTGGTATCTCTTGTCACTTCTTTCACTTATTCCCTCCACCCCAACCTTGTTCTCTGGCTTTTTCCTTGGAACTTCTACAGCATAAAATGTTATGGCCTTGTGGCAGGATGCCCTGCTTGGTCTGTGGGTGTTACACAGAGGGAAGGAAAGGGATGGCAAGCGAAAGGGAAGGGGAAAGGAAAAGGAAAAAGGGAAAGGAAAAAGGAAAAGGAAAAAGGGAAAAGGAAAAAGGAAAGGGAAGGAGAAGGAGAAAGGGAGCTCTCTGTCCATCAATGGACAGATGTCCCTCAGTGCTGGATAGCAGAACTGCTGGATGAAAGGAACAGTGACTGCACTGTGAACCCTGTGCAGGGATTATGTAGGATGCAGCGACTCTATGACATGGAACTGCACAAGAACGCGGAGATGAAGCTAATCCTGCAGAAAATATAGTGCAATATGATAAATATATATAGTGCAGCACACGCCAGCAGGGATCTCTCTAAAAATGTTCTTGCATTTATAGCCTGAGTGCCCCAGTCACTCAACTGCCCTGTGTTTTCAGGCGTAACATCCACAGGGTAACGAAGCACTTACTGTATGAGAGACATAAGCTGCATTACTTATTAATTTATACAAGATCTGACTGTTTGGTTGATGTGCTGCTTACACCGGAAAATTTTTCTTTATAGAAACACAGTGGAACAGTCCTTGAATACAAGTAATAAAATAAATGAAGGTGCATGGGAGAATATAGATTAGAAGCTCTTTGCTGATGTGTTCCACTGATGCAACCAGGTTTGGAAGAGTAAGTGAAGAACAGAAACTGCCTTACAAACACCAAGCTGTTATTTACTTGCTGACAGCTGTTAAAATTGCCCCAGGAGAGAGGGGGGAGAAGGAGTGAACACCCTGCCTGCCACCTCCTCCCCACTAGCTTCTTAGGAAGGAGACAAAACAGAGTAAATATTTGAGTAAAAACACCCCCTGTGTAAAACAAACTAGAGCTGTAGACGTGTAGCTTTGCTGTTGCTGTGGCTTGGGATTCTGCAAGATTCTGCTGGGCTTCCTCACTCTAGAATTTGTCTTTTAGTGTAATTAAAAGGGAGGGACACAAAGAGAGAGGGACGGTAGGAGGGGAGCCCTGCCGTGTTTCCCCAGGTGCTTTTCCTCACTGTCTCAGCTGTTGTAGCTCCTTGTCTGGGCCCTCATCACAGCTCACGATAAATGGGCTGAATTAACACCCAAAGTCCAACTTCAGAATGTCTGAAAGGTGCTCCCGTATATTTAGTATAAATCACATCATTAAGAAAAATAAATATTTCTTGTAGTTTATAGTTTTACTCTAGTTTGCTTCTGTGATGGGATAGTATCTATAAGTACTGTGAAGTTTTTACAAATACTGAGTTTAGTCCAGAGAGGATTTTTCCACAGATAAATAGAGGATTTTCCACGATCTTATGGAGGAGGAAGTTTCTTACAATCTGTCCAGTCCTTTTCCCAAAGAAGTAGCTGAAATTGCAGCATCTTCCTCAGAGGATTCATTTTATCCTGGGCCTCCTTATTTTTAATGTATCTGCAGAAAGCTATGACATAAGTGGAAATAATAATGGCTCTTCCAGTAAAGGAAAATCATCCCAAAGCATAGCTGCTACATAGAGATCACCAAGGAAAAGGAAATGGGTCCCTCACTTCTATTTTTTTGATGATACCATATGTGAATTTTAGGTATTTAAAAAGCTCACTTTGTAAAACTAAAAAAATAAAAAGTGGTATTGTGCAATACTTGGCATGTAAAAGAGAAGCTGGTTTCTGTTTTGTTTTTTAAAATGCTTTTCAAGTGGAGCAGTGTTGAGCTCTGTGGTCTTTTCCCCTGTAAGGCTTCTGTAGCAATGCATGCAAATATGTTTTTCTCCAATAATTTGCAGTTTTACCTTCCAAATTCAGTGTGTATTGTGTATCTCAGGAGGCATAAAGTAACTACCAGAGACCCTATTTACTTTGATGGAGATGAGTTAACATTTTACTGCACTTCATCTTCTTTTTTAGTCCGATGTGACCTGTATTAAAGCATGTTCTTCTTGCTTCTGCTTTCACGCTGGCAGTGGGTACCAGTTTCACACACAGATCAGCGTGGAGGTGCATCCAGGCTGCTCATCCTCTGCTCTGTCCCTTCTTTCTTGCTGTATCAGTCAGTGCTGCATGTAGATATGATGGAGCCTTAAGGTTCATGCTGCCCAGGCAAACAGCTCATGTAAGGGAAGGCATGGAAACTGTCTCCTAGAGGGAAACTAGGAGGACTGCTTCCCTCTGAGAATGTGGGGTTTGATTGGAAAAGGAGGACGTGTTGGATAACACTGCTGCTAAAATCAACTTCCTTCTTTGTAATAGTGAAATCTTTAGCATATGGAGAGCACACGACTTCTCTGATTGGTTATGTCACACAGACCATGTCTCTTGGATGCTGGATTCACACAGCAGGGTGTTCCATACATTCCTTCCCAGTTCCTCTGTATGCCTTCCTGCCCTTGCCTCCACCTCTGGAATGAAATCTTTTGCTATAGATTTATGCAAAAACTCTGATGCAAAATGCTGAAGAATATTTGTTTTCTGTGATGTTAGCACTAAAGAATAACTGCAAGTGCATATGTCTTCTGTGGATTTAATTGTTGTTTTTAAGGGGGACATGTTCTTTAATTGGTTTCATATTACAAATCCCTGGGAAAATATGTGAGGTTTTTTTCAGATCTGTGGGGCTACAAAGACAGAGAGTTGTAGCCTTCCTGTCTTCATCTTTATTAGATTTTTATCTTGTTTAATGTTAAGATAACATCTAAGCTAATTGTAGCCAGTATCCTGTTCTGAAAGAGGACAGGATAAAAATAATGTGCACTAAGGGCTTTATCTCAACTGGAGAGGAGTTCTTTTATTTAAAGCTTTTCATGAAAAGGTCTGTCTTTTATGAGAAGGTGTGTCTTTTTTCCTGCATTCCATAGGAAGGTCTTTCTTTTTTCCTGCATTTTTTTCAGCATTTCTGACCTCACTTCCCCCTACTTCCATATCCTTTTCCAAAGATCTCTATTAAAGTATCTTAATTATTCCCCAAAATAACAGCCAAAATGCATCTTCATTGTTATCAAATTCAGCAGATTTTACTATTCTTCTATAATACAATGCAATATGCTGCTGGCTGTGCTGTCGTTCCTGAGGACTGATAACTGCTTTTCTTTTTCCATTTGTTTTAGCTTTCATTTGGTGTTTGATCCAGTGTCCTTACACTGCATAGCCATGGAGATAGGTTTGAATAAGTTCAAACAAGTTATAAAACTTTTAGGAATAATAATCATGTCTTTTTCACATTTCCATTCCTGTTGTCCCCATTTGTTGGGGCAGCTTCTGCCCAGATCTGTTGAAAATAGGAAGACAGAAACATTTGGGGTAATTTTTTAGTGTGACTTTCAGCTGTTCTGTTTACCAGCTACCTTGGGGTGCCCCTTTGGAAAACTACTAGAAAATTGTCAGGAATTGGCACCTGGATAGCTGGAAAAAATGAATATGGGAGTCTTCCTATGTGCTCCTTCCTTGTGGAAGGAAGGAACTCGGGAGCCTACCTTAGTCTGTCTTTGATGTGCTAAACCTAGCAGATTCCTTAAGAGGAAAGCCTCATTGCTGGGTTCCTGCTGGGCTTAGCTCTGAGCAAGATACTGAGCCTCCCTGGGCCTTGCCAAGATTGGGGCAGTGCAGGAAGGAAGATGAAAAGATGCGACTCTAAATGCCTGGGATATTTGGGCATTGCCTGGAGTTGGCAGCCTCAGAGCAGGGATTTGGCTTGAGACACCTACATTGCTTTGGAGCATCTGGCTCTGTATATTTAATTCGCTAATGTTTGATGGTTTGCGGAGAAGCATTGGCAGTTGTCATAATTAAATTAGTTGATATAGTTCTGTTGAAAAACATAAAAATCTGTGATGGGAAATCAATTTTATTAGTTTGTAACTTCTGTGCTGGGTGATGGAATGCATTTGTGTGACCCAAAATGCTCTTAGGGAGAACCTAAGCCAAAGTATATTAATCTCTTGATAATTTACTCTTTTTATAGAGAGTTCAGCCCTAGTTGCATGTCCACATAACCATTTAGGGGTTGCAATCCAAATACCTAAATTAGCCCATAACTGAAGTTAGAAGCTGGCATAAAGTGTTTGGTATCCATCACTGGCAGGTACCAGGCCCAGCTTGCTAAGTAACACACACTGCTTCACAGAATTAGCTAATTTACTGGTTTATTTGCAATGCTTAAGTGGTTCAAGTTAAAAGGTACTCTCTCCTCTTCATTAAAATTGTTAATCTCTAGGATTTTTTTTTAAATATAATATTTTTTCTTTACCACTGGGTTACATGGTCCTCAGAGCTATAAAATTTAACCCACAACAAAGCCTGATAGTGCTAAGCACTGCTTTGATATTCTTTCTGCTGTCTGCATGCCCATTATAATTAATGCTTTCTTATAGAAATGTTTTTGATTATATTTTGTGCCTTATCGTACAGTTCTTTTGTTAAGACAATATTAATCTTTTCTCCCTTTTTCCTCTTTATTTTTAGGTCATTGGAATACTGGACGTATTCACACCAGATGTAACCCTGGAGAAATTCAATGACTTGTAAGTTTTGTGCTGTTTGTATTTGGGAGCAGGAGCTATTACTCATCTGGAGGAAGGGCTTGTTGGCTTTTTTCATCCTGGAGAATTCCAAAAAAAATCACTTGATGGCTTTTTCTGAATTTCATCTTAATGTAAGTCTTGGGTACTGCCTAAAATTGGTAGGCTGAGGTTTCCAGGTTATTAGTGGAGCCAGTTACCTGTCTTACAAGATGTATGCTCCTTTCAATCGTTAGTAAACTGCAGTCTGAGGAATTCCCTAATCCTCCTTTGAAATATTGATTTCCTACCCTAAGCCCCCAAATCACCAAGTGATAGAGCCGCCCTTGCCTCAGATTAGAGCTAGGATGGATCACGCTGGCAGTGTGTCATGTAGCAGTCATCATTTTCACGTCTGCAACTCAAAATTAGCCTTCTCAAGCCTGAAAATGATGGCTGCTACATGACACAGTGCCAGCGTGATGCATCCCAGCCTCAGGATTAATTCAGAACTGCTGGGTTTTGTGACTCTTGTGTTTATATCACAGACTGCCCCTTCTGCAGCTGCTTGCATCCAGCTGAGGGGGGGTTTGGACCCCCTCTTCCTTCCCCACAGAACAAGGTGGCCCAACCTACACAGCAGAGGTTGCTGTTGACGTGGGTCCCTCTGACCTTTCAGCAGCTCCGCAGGCAGATGTTCAGCTTACAGGTTTTGTCAGCGGGTCTTGCTACAGTTCTTGTGGACTTGGTTCATGAGCAAAACAACCATCCTGTTGTATAGCTGTCATGTTACTGAGCTGCTTTGGGATTTCCTCTAGTGTAGTTTAATGTTTCAAAAACATTTTTTGTTAACATACAAGTATGCAAAGTTATCTAACAAGAAAAGATAGAAAATGAAGTACAAAAATCATAGATCATATTTCCCATTGGATTTTATAGCTCACTTAGACCTTTGAGCCAAGAGTTTTGCTGTCCATATTGCCTATCCTTCCAACATTAGATAACATAAAATACAACACACTTACAGGAGATTCGCATTCACGAATTGCATTTTAAATGTAAATTATATATGTGTGTGTGTATATATATATGTGTGCGTGTGTGTGTATATACATGTGTGTGTATATATATATATATATATAAAACAAAAATTCATCCTTCAAGTTTAGGAAGAGCAAGTCAAATAGGAGGAATATTGTTGCAACTAAATATGTAAATATGTTTACATATTACATATGTAAATATGTAATATAAACAGGTAGACCTGTGGCCACATCTGCTTCCAAGACTTTTGATAAGCTGATGGATAAGAGCAAGCTGGAGCAAGAGTCATTTATTGTGTGGATTAGAGGTTGAAAGAGCTGTTTGAGGGGCACCTCGTTTTTGCTAGCAAGTCATAGGGATTCATCTGTGACCTGTTATAAAAGATGAAAACTGAAGGTGAGTTGTGTCTGGAAGCAGCAGGGCTCAGGCAGGTTTCACCACAATCAGCCCATAGAGATGCTCTTACCTGAGACCTCAAGTTTTTCCCTGCAACATGGCATGGAGCCACATTATATAATACTCACAGTATACACTATAGCTCACTTCTGGGCTGGCTGTCTGGCCAGGAACGTGCTTGACCTGCCACCATAACCCACCAGCCAATGTAATAAGTGAAGACAAAACCCCTCAGGGGCTTCCCTCTCCTCTAGGATTCGGATTCCCCATACTCATTTTAATGTCCTTCAGCCTCAGAGCTCAGCTGGCTGAAATGGTCTTCAAGATCAGAGAGGGGGGAGGTTTGGGCCAGTTTAAATTCTACCATGTATCTTCCTTGATCTGTGCTATTTGCATTCACTGTCTGTGCTTGTGTCATATGAAATGTGCCATAAAGGGTGGCTGCTCCTTGTGTTGTAGGAGGTGAGGGGCTTTCGCTGGGATCCGCAGGAAACATCCACGAATGAGGCACTAAGCTCTTTGTTGAACAGAGTTAGGGATTGGTGCCTAGTATGTTTAGATAATTGGAAGATTCCAGGTATGGATTGGAAATGTATTTATAATAATAAAAACATGTTTTCTCACTTTTGAGCAGTTGACAGAGAGTTGAAAGACAATGTCAGTCATGTCTTCGCCTTGAATTTGCAAATTTGTGTTAATGCATTTGGAAGAAATCTTATGCCATGATTTAAATGCACTTCGGAAGGGGAATAATTTTAAGCAGTTGTTCAGTGTAAAATGTTTTCTAATTCTGCCTTTTGTGGGGGAGTTTGCTTATTTGAATTTATCTTAAAGATGCTTCTTTTGAAAGAGTCTGCTTCCTTTCCCCCAGGAAAGCTCTACAGGATTTGTAGCAAGGTAGAAATGTTCAGAAATTTTTTAGACAAAGTAGGGAACTTAAATGGTTTAGTTAGGCCGTGTTGTTGTGAGCCTACTATCAGTCAAAGATTTGCTGGAGTAGTTCAACATAGCTATGACCCAAAAGAACAGGTAACTTTTATCCAATCTAGCTCTGTGAGAGCCGTTTGCTTAGGAAGATCGAAACCCTGTATTTGCTAATGATGATGATACCCTTTCTGCAGTAACTCCTGTCAGCAGTGGAAGCCACAGGTAGCTACCACACTTCTAAATGCCCATAATATAGTGATAAATTACGAGACCTGCAGCTGCTGTGATCACAGTAATACTTAGGCCTTTATGAAGCAACACAAAATTTCTAGATCAAAAGATGAAGCTCCTTTAAGAAGTGCTATAATGTAGCTGATTTCTTTTTTTTCTTCTTCCTTTTCTCATCTGTGTGTAGATGCCCATAGTATTACATACACACATTGCCCTGTCTCAATGTTGTTCATAAACTGTTCATAAGTTTGGAGTTTTAAAACTCAAATAGGAGTGTTTTTCCTTTCATCTCCTGTTTTGTTGTTGTTCTCCCATACTGCAGTTGTCTATCTTGACTATCAGAAATTAAAAGGCAACAAACTGCAAACTCATCAAATAGTGCATCAGTACAAGTGCCCTCTTATTTATCCTTTCCATCCTGCTTTTGGCAGTACTTTGTGGGTCTGGATTGCTTTGGGCTTGGTATGATCGGATGCATCACTGTCCATCCAGATCCATGGGATTCACACAGATGGTGGAGGCTAAGGAAATTCCTTAGGGATGTTCAAGGGCCCCACCAGTAGTATAGGACATGTAGATATTTCGCTGTCTCTCTCACCTCACATCGTATTGCATTTGTTTTCTGAGTCATATATTTATGGCCCTTGAAAAAATGAATTTTATGAGTTTGGATAGGAGTAGAACTTAATATACTGTCGAGGTTCAGGGGTGTCAATACAGCAGAAGTTGAACTCCATTTTCTAAGTAACTTGCTTTGTTAATAAGAAGCAGAGTGTCATGTACTTGGGTAGAGATGAGAAATTTAATTTCTCATAGACCATATTTGCTATGTCTTTTGTAGTTACTAAATTAAATTTGTTTATTTTCTATCCAAAAGGGTAGCAGATTTGCTATGAGTGCTGGGACTGGGGGGGCCGGAGTCCCCATAGCCCAAGTCAAGAGAACAAGGTTGGGTACCTGGGGAATTTTGAATACACTCTCTGTAATCGTTGTGACTAAATGAGTATCCCATCCCATCCTTCTCTGGCTTTGTGTTTAATATCTAGTTAGTTTGCAGCACAATCCTAACACAACAAATGAAGTTTTTTACGCAGCTCTAATGAGACAACTCAGCATAGTTAAAATTTGCATTCTTTGACCAAGGGAATCCATTTAGGGCAAATTAATAAAACTTATGCTTGTGAAACAGTGATCACATCTAATTCTTAATGCATCTGCTTTTATGTAATAAGAAGAACTCTGCTGGCTTTCACCTTGGATGCCAGGCATGTGCCTAGCTCTGTTTGGGTCCAGACGTGGCTCTCAGGAAATTTTCTGCGTTTCCTACAAGTAGCATGTAAAGATTGTCCTTGAAATGCCACCTTAACACTCTCCAGCTTTCTCTGCCTGATGGCCATGAGCACCAATAAGAATTACCTAAGGTTAAGGATTTTACAATCCCACATGAAAATTAGTGGAATCTTAATTTGATGAACTCTATTCCTGATATATCTGACTTTGTCTATTTGAATGAACCACCCAGTGAATTTTGTGGTTGCTCAGATCACTACTCCACCAACCCTGTTTTCTGGGGCCTGTTTTCTCTGAACTGGGCCTGTTTTCTCTGGAGAAGAGAAGGCTGAGAGGGGATGTGATTAACATGTATAAGTTCAGGAAGGGAGAATGCAGGGAAGAAGGGGACAAGCTCTTTTCATTGGTGGCCAGCGATAGGACAAGGGGGAATGGGCATAAGCTGAAACACAGGAGGTTCCGTCTCCAGGTGAGGAGGAACTTCTTTCCTGTTAGCGTGACAGAGCCCTGGAACAGGCTGCCCAGGGAGGTTGTGGAATCTCCTTCTCTGGAGGTCTTCCAAACCCGCCTGGATGCCACCCTGTGCCACATGCTGTAGGTGTGCCTGCTTGAGCAGGAAGGTTGAACTAGATGATCTCTAGAGGTCCCTTCCAACCTTGAATATTCTGTGATTCTGTGAACCCTATGGTCATGGTTGTAAGGTAAATAGCACTGTGAGAATGCCTTGGTTTTCTGTGCAGATATCTGGAAAGTGTCATGTGGCTCTGGATTAGTTCAGACCCTGTACCCTTCTGATAACTAGCAACTTTCCCTCACCAGAGGCAGGGTTGTATAATAGCTATAAATGACAATCAAAAATAAAAATTGATTAAAAATAAAAGAGAGAAACTTGGAGGGGGGAGATCAGTGGAATTACTTGGTGAACATAATGATCTGCTGTTGAAATATGTCACTGCACTGAATTATGTTTCAATTTATTTTACAAATTTACAGTGATTTTGTACTTCTTTTTTTAAAGCTACCTAGTCATGCCGTTTATGGGAACAGACCTGAGTAAGATAATGAAGCATGAGAAGCTTACTGAAGACCGAATCCAGTTCCTGGTGTATCAGATGTTAAAAGGCCTAAAGGTTGGCAAATTTTATTATTTTTACTTCACAGTTTTTTTTTTTCCTAGTAAACCAACATGTAGCACTATAGACAGTTGGTATTTGACAGCAGGATAAAATTTTGTAATATAAATGATGAATTCTGTACAACAGATGATTTGTGATGATGAATGTTCCCCTTTTGTTTGTTTGTTTTCATTTCAAGGAAACAGGAAAAAAAAGAAGTACAGATCTCATAAAGATTTGTAATACATTAATTTGGATGTACTATATTTCTGTATTTCAGTAAACCAGAAGGTTTTATCACTGCTGTGATTTTTAGTCAAGACTTCTTCCCTGGTAGTTGGTTTTAATGCTGTTTAGGTATCCCTCTTATACTGGCTACTTGAGGAGTGTAGAAAAACAGAGAATGAAGTATTGAAGTCAGAGGTAGGATCCCTTTGACTGCAGCAGAGCCAAAGCTGGTATCCTGTGTGAATGGAAATCAGAGCCCTTGGTTGTGTCATCAGCTTCAGATTTCTCTCGTTTGAGAAGTTTCTCCAGTCTTGCTTGTGTTGGTTTGATTGTACAAACTTAGTTGTTGCTAAGGCAGCCTGCACGAACCTACTATAAATGTAGTATTGATGAACATGGTATGTGCTCTCCTGAGAAGAGTTTTCTTTGCTTTTACGATTATTTCTTTAGTTAGTAACTGTAGGGTTCCTTCTCTGCTTACCTTCTTTGATTACATTTCGCTTTTTGATGGGTAGAGTTTTAGCCTTTTTTTAGTATTAATATGGTGAATACAGACTTGTGGCTTCTAGTGGTTGTGCTGGTTTTGGTGGGTGTTCAGGGACAGCAGCACATCTCAGTTTGGTTCATGCATGTTAAGAGTCCAGGTCTGCAGTATACTAAATTTCTTTTCTAAATCTAAATAGACAACTAGTTCTGTGGAATTTTCATATATTCAAATATATTTTTTGAGACGGATGTTTGAATGTTTCTTGTGAAATTCAAAAGCATGTATCCTTTGTGTAACATTTTATATATAAAGCTAAAGAATCTCTCAAGCCTCCAGGTCTGGGACAGCTTTGATAAAAAGGAAGAGATGCAGAGGTTAGTGACTATTGTGAGTGGGAAGTGACACAGAGGAGTCCAAAGAAACAGGTACCTGAGGTGAAAAACTGAAAATGTCAAATGGGATTCGACTGAAAGAACACTATTTTTGAATGACGTTTCACAGAATTGCAGCGGTTGGCAGCTCTGGAGATGGTTGAGTCCAAGGCCAACCACAGCACATTCCTCAAGACTTTGTGCAGGCAGGTTTTAGATATCTCTAAGGACGGGGACTCCATGGAATCCCTCAGCAGTCTGATCCAGCTCAGTCACCCAGACAGCACAAAGAAATTTTTTGTTACATTCTGCAGAATTTCCTGTGTTTCAGTTCATGCTCATTGCCTCTTGTCCTTTCACTGCATACTGCTTAGAGGAATTTGGCTTCATCTTCGTTATTGCCTCCAAAGAGGTAATTGATATTAGACATAGACATTGATAAGATGCACCTGAGCCTTTCCAAGACTAAACCCCATCATTGCTCCCAGCTTCTCCTCCAAGACAGGTGCTGCCATCGCTCACCCATCTGGGTGACCCTCTGCTGGACTCGCTCAGGCTCAACCAGGTGTCTGTTAGTTCTGAGGATGTTAACAGACTGTCAAAAGCTTTGCTAAAATCAAGAAAAACCTCTTTCTGCTCTCTTGTCATCTACCAAGGTAGTCATCTTCTCATAGAAGACTATCAAGATGGTCAGGCACAAGTTTAATTTTTTCCTTTGTAAATCCATGCGGATTGCTCCCAGTCACCACCTTGTCTGTAATATGGGTGGAAACAGTTTCCAGGACTATTTGCTTATCATGGCTTGGGATTTCTGAGGGCAAGTCTTACCAGAAATAATAGGAGAACAAGTCATTGACTGTCTTGTCCTTCTCCATGTCCTTTGTCAGCAGCCCCTACCTCATTCAGCAGTGGGCCCACATTTTCCCTGGTCTTCCTTTTGGTGGGGATACGCCTGTAGAAGTCTTTCTTATTGCCCTTAACATCTCTTAGCAGCTTCAACTCCAGGTAGGCTTTGCCCTTCATAACCCACCTCTGCACACTTGGATGGTGTCTCCATATTCCCCCTGGATGACTCGACCCTGCTTTGACCTCCTGCAGGCTTCCTTTTTATGTCTGAGTTTAGTAATGACCTCCTTGTTCATCCTTGCCGACCTCCTGCCCCCTTCACTGCATTCTGAATTTTTGGTGCCTTCTTTCGTAATGTGCCTGTGTTTTACACTGTTAAATAATGAAAGCTTTCATAAAAGGCTGGGAGGAATCATTCACATCTGTCTAGTTTTTAACTGTATAGGAGAACTTTGTCTTGTAGCTCCTTCATTAAGTCATGGCTTGGCTTGAACACGATTTCCATATGAGAGGAGTATTTTTAATGTAAAATTAATGTAAAAAAGTACTTGAACCAAATATAATGAAAATTCTATCTTTGAGATAGCTTTTGGGGGCTTTTCCTGGCCTTGTTTTTGCAGAGGACAACCCTGAATGTAAGCCCAATTAGCCAATTATTAATATAAGCCCAATTAGCCAATTACTAGATTGTTTAGTCCCCCTGTCTTTGTCAGAAATTATGTTGTTTCTACTCCAGCGTTTATCCCCTGGGCCTCATTAAACTCCTTTCTGATCAATTGCAGAACTGCACAACTTTGTTGTAACCTTTTATGATTCTCACAAAGGTGATTCTGAGTACTCTAGCTGTATGCATATGGACTTTATATGTTTCATTTTCTGATCTTTTCTGCTAGACTGTTTATTATCACTGGCTTTTTTTAATGATATTTGGCTTTTACAAAATGAATGGTGATTAAAACTCATTCCTTACAATGCAGAGCTTATTTCTTATAGCACAAAAGAAACTCCTCCTTGAGCTCCCAGGTCCTCACTAACACATATTGATGATTCATATTCATATATTGATATGATTCACATTCATATGATATGAAAATGCCTCACAGTCTCAGCTGGTACTGCAGGCCTTAAATCACAGCATTTATTGTTAGGGTGTACAAGACATTGATGACAAAAGGGCTGTTGTTCCTTTGGCAGTTCTTGGCTTGGCTCCAAGCGGGGAGGCCCCTTCCCGTGAAAGCCGTGCTGTCCTGCAGCAACAGTGCAGGCTGGGCAGGGGCCTGGAGCATCTGCCCTGTGAGGAGAGGCTCAGAGAGCTGGGCCTGTTCAGCCTGGAGAAGAGAAGGCTGAGCGGGAATCTGATCAGTGCCTATAAATGTCTCAAGGGAGGCAGTGAGGAGGAGGGGGCCGGCCTCTCTTTGGTGGTGGCCAGCGATAGGACTGGAGGAAATGGCCACAAAATGAAGCCCCAAAAGTTCCACAGGAACTTAAGGGAAAATTTCTTGATAGTGAGGGTGACAGAGCCCTGGAACAGGCTGCCCAGAGAGGTTGTGGAGTCTCCTTCTCTGGAGATCTTCCAAACCCACTTGGACACAGCTCTGTGCCACGTGCTCTAGGTGACCCTGCGTTTGCAGCAGGATTAGACTAGATGACCTCTGAGGTCCCTTCCAACCTTCTGGATTCTCTGGGCAGAAGCCGGGACGTTCTTGTTGTGAATCCCTGACCTCGCTGGGCGGCCTCAAGCCCTGGCTGTCCCACAGCAGCAGCCCTGCAGCTCCCACCGCTCTGCCGCAGACAAACACCAGAACAGTCCAGAATTGAATGTGGTTTCTTTGGCTGCGCCTTGGCCTCTACAATTTCATTTTATGGTCCTTCAATATACAAGGTATGGGCAGAGTTCCCTCTGTGCTTGTGCTTGTACTTGTGCGAGACAAGTGGTATCTGCTGTGTGGGGAGATGGGTGGCATAAGGAGCTTCTTGTGCACTGGACATACAGACCCAGGCTTCACAGAGAAAGGTGTATTGCTCCTCCAGATCTCTAGTTGTATCACCAAACACTGTTACAGATGCACAAAATGCCAGGCTATCATGCTGTTGCTGGACAGGCACAGCAGGAACAGCCTGCCCGTCATGATTCTGTCTCTCTCTATTCAGCAGATACCAGCAGAAGTAAATTGTTTCGCTCCCATCCCAAGACCTACTAAGTGTATTTTGGTGTTGGATCCTGCCTTGCTCATTTCCCCTTGGCTCTACAGCATATGAATTGTAAAAATTTAGCATGAATTGAATCAATAATGAATTTAAATCCAATGAATTATCTTAGAATGGCTGAGAAACTTATTTTGTTCTAGTGATCTGGATTACGTCTGCAAACAGCGTTTGTGGGCCCAGAAGGGCTCATTCCAGAGCCCATTGGATCAGTGCATGTAGAAGGCAAGCAAAGCAACTGACCTATACCTGAAGAACATCAGAGTATATCTGAACAAAACAGAGCCAGGCTTAGCATAAGGAGAAAATGAGCAGGAAGTTCTTGGCGTAAGTTTGGATTCCCAGGAGTTAATAAAAATTGCAGCATTTCTAGTTATCAGGTGACCAGCAGGAATACTTTTATAATCTGGTAAACTGGGGTCTCTGGCCTCTGTAACTTTATTAGATCTCCTGTTAGCAGTGATTCACACGAATGCTTTGCCTTTTCTCCCACCCTGCACACAGGGTGAATACAGTGCACACAGCAGTGAATAAGCCATAGCTGCCACACTGATGTTTTGTTACTGCCTGCAAGCCAAACACTTGGGAACAGCATTTACTATTTAACCTGTTCCAGCAAACTCTGGCTTCGTCTCCTTGCACTAGTCCATCCAGCCCTACCAATATACCTAGTTGGAAATCCAGTCAAGAAATCAGGTGTCAGGAATGCTCCAGTGTTTCATGTTTGAGGGACCTTTCTGCAGCACTGTCCGTGCTAGTGATTAAGGTGAAATTAGGATTTCTAGCATACAGAAAAAATGAAAACAGGTCAATAGTTTGTTTCTTTTTTCAAAGCCACTGGTAAGTTGGCTATATAGGAAGTGCTTTGCCTGGATTTGCAAGAAAATCTTGTAAAGATGTAGTGTTTCTGGAAGAAAAACAGCAGATCTGTGTTTTGTTGAGGAAGCTTGGTTTTTTGTTGGGATGAAAAGCATGCCTGTAAGTAGTAGTTAGTTAAGGCATTATAGGGGAAAAATACTTGCAATACCTGGAAAGAAGGAGTAGGCAATTCTGTAAGTTTTTGTTGTAAAGCTGTTCCAAATTCCCCCTCTTGGCCTCTCAATTTTATGATGTATGTATGTTTTATTTCTGCATCTCTTTAATTTGATGGGCTCTGTTTTGGCTATTTGGTAATACAGGCATTAACTGCAATATGCATTTGTCCCTTGTGTGAAGTGCATAAACATTTTATGGCACCTGTATTTAAGTTCATTCAAAGGCAAGAAAGCTATTCTTTATTTTTGCCACATTTCAGAGTCCTGTTGTAGTGGCCCATTTACATGTCCTTTTTGCATATATGTAAAAATAACAGCATGAGTGGTTTTATGTGAGGGGATAAAATAGATACCTTTTTACTAAGGCCCTGGGATAGGTCTCTGCATGTTTCATTTTGCATATTTTTCATTCTTGTGTATTTTCTGTAGCCTAGTTCTGAAACAATTATATGCTGAAATGCTCCATGGACTTCATTTAAAAAGAAGAAAGTGTTGGGGTCTTTTTGAGGCCAAAGGAAGGTTTATGTAGAGTTCAGGAAAATTTGTATCCAGCCCTCAGTGCTTTGCTTTCTAAGTCTGTGCAGCCTTGTTTGTCAATTATGTTTGTGCCATTTTACTGTCTTCCTTTTGTAGGGAAGGAAATACTCATTTCCTTTCTTTCAAAAATCTTGTAATTTATTGGAATGTAACTTCAGCTTTGGTGGAAAAAACAACATGATTTGACATGGCTTAAAACCAGTAATGCATTGCCTTTTTCTGTTCCCAAGCTGGACTTTATTTTATTTAAGTGTGAGCTTCGAGATTGGAAGGTCTTTCAGATGTGCTGGGCCACTTCATTCCTCTTTGACAGAAAAAATAGCGATTGTCAAAAACTGCAGGAAACAAGGTGCAAATAGATGTTTTTGGGTAGGTGGAGTGTGCTGGGGCTTTGAGCTCTTTCAGCCTTGAGTCTTCCATCTCTTCCCTTCTGCAGGGAATGCCCATTCATAGAATCACAGGATGGTTGAGGTTGGAAGGGACCTCTAGAGATCATCCAGTCCAACCCCCTGCTCCAGCAGGGACACCCAGAGCACGGGGCACAGGGTGGCATCCAGGCGGGTTGGGAAGACCTCCAGAGAAGGAGACTCCACAACTTCCCTGGGCAGCCTGTGCCAGGGCTCTGTTACCCTCACTGTTAAGAAATTTTTCCTTAAATTGACCCATGATCATTGACTCTCTGATCAGGATCCTCTTCAGATGTGAGCTGCGGTTGTGTGTCCATTTGTCGGACACAAATATCATTTTCATTTCTCCTTTTCTCTCATTTAGGATCCCTGTTTCCCTCCCTTGTTCACACTGAGGCTGTTCTTTCTGCTTTTCTGTTTTTCCTTTGCCCCTCACCCAGTTCCACTTCAGTTTTCCTTTCTCTGCCAAGTCACTCTCCTCCTTTTCATTCTGCTCACTAAATACTTCCGCCTGAATCTTTTATAATTCCTTTTTGATTAGCTTTGTATTTTGAGTGTATGTTACATATACAGGCAAGAATGCTTAGAATTTAGAAAGCTGCTGCATAGCTTGCTTGCACAGTCTGAAACTTTCGTGCAAGGATTTCTACAGACTGCCAAAAATTGTCTGTAGGGTAGTGTATGTATCTCTCGTGCCCCACTGCACTTTGCTTGTGTTAACTGAGTTCTTGAATGAAATACAGCAGTAATAATGTTATGAGGAGCATGTCCTTGCCAGCAGGTCGAGGAGAGATGATCCTCCCCCTCTGCTCAGTCCTGAGGAGGCTGCATCTGTGTCCAGACCTGGGCTCCCCGGTGCAAGAGAGACGTGGAGCTCCTGGAGCGGGTCCAGCAAAGGCTGCTGAGATGATTGAGGACCTGGAGCATCTCCCCCATGAGCAGAGGCCAAGAGCTGGGACCCTTCCCTCTGCAGAAGGGAGGACTGAGAGGAGATCTTACCAGGAAGAGCCCCAAGGGAGGGTGCAGAGCGGATGGGGCCAGGGGAAGGACGATGGGCTGCGGGCACTAACTGAAATGCAGCAAGTTCTCTAGGAACATGAGGAAAAACTTCTTTGCTGGGAGGTGATTGAGCGCTGAACTAGTTGTCCGGAGAGGATGTGGTGTGTCCTGCCATGTTGATGCTCACAAGCTCTTGTGGCAGGGTCCTGTGCAAGGCTCTCCAGTGACCCTGCTTGAGCGGGAGGCTTGGACTAGGCCATCTCCAGAGGTCTCTTCCACTCCCAACCTGTCTTTGATTCTGTGCTGTGGTCTGAATGGTTTTTTTCAAGGTGAAACCTGACAATAAATGTATTGGTAAAAATTGGATCCAATTTCACACGTTTTTTGAATTGAGATGAGTATTTTTTCTAAGCTAAGGCTAGCATAAGCTCACTGCTGTTACCTGTCAGCAGATAATAAGGTGCAGTTAAAAATATTGCTATTCCTAAAAAGCTCTGCAGCACAAACAGCAATATTGCAGCTGGGGAAAGACTAGTGCTTAACTTAGCACCAGAAATAAGTGCTATTTCGTATAATGAGACCCTCCAACAGCTGAGAATGACTTCTACTAAAACTTCAGAAATGGCTGCTCTTTAAATTCCTCTCTGTACCTGCCACGTTATTAGGTGCAGACGTTCCTGGGTCTCCTTGTTGTTTCCTGGCTGTGAATAGTCCTTTCAGTAAAATTAAACTACAGACTATTTATAGCACATGTGTTCTGGAGAATCAGGAGGCTTCAGTGAGAAAACATTGAAATAACTTAGAAGATAGTGATCATCGTGACACCGTGATGAAGATGACAGTTTGCCAAAGACATTGTCTTTTTTCTTTTTCATTTATTGGCTAGCAGTTTGTGGGGAGCTTGCTTGCTAGAGACACGTTATTTTAATGCATCTCTGGGGTCTGTGCGCACGTGGGAGGCTTCCTCTTTCTGTGCCTTTTTCCTCCCATCCCCATCCACTTCAAGCACATCCCTGATGGAAATGCTGCTTTGTAGTTCTTCATTTCAAGGGTTGCCCCTTGGGGAAGAGACAACAGTCACACGTGCAACATGAGAACAATGTGCAACGTGCTGAATTCTCTTTAAATGCAAAGGGGAAAAAGTCACCTTGGAGATGGTCCGGCCCTTGGGCAGCCTGGTCTAGTTGATCTGCTTTGAACAGGAGTTTTGCCTGGATATCCTCCCTTGCAGCATGAGGTCCCTTGCAAAATAAACTATTGTAGGATTGCCAGTGTTGCACCAAACCTGGTATGAGAGGCAGAAATAAAACCAGCCATACAAAAACAGTGTAACAAGAATATAAATGCTCACTGGCTTCAGGTATCTGAGCTAATCAGCGTAGTCCATGTGTTGCCCTATAGCAGGAGGAAAGGAGGCTTTCTGAGAAGGGGCAGTCACAGCAGGAACTCACCTTTGTTGCATTTTTTATCACAATCCTCAAAGTCTCCATTGCAGCAGGTTGCCACTATACAAACTTCTAAAACAGCATCATGAACAGGGTACCTGGTGCTGGGGTGCAATATTTGTGCTGCTTCATTGACTACTGAATAACAAGCATGTTTTACTGCTACATGAGAGTCTCAGAACTTACTGGGTCTGGGATTGGTGTAAAAAACACCAGTTCTCAGAACTGCCATGTTTTTCACATGCCGAGAAGAAAGCAACAAAACCACCCCACAGGTGTGTGATCATCAGGTTCTTGTGCTTCCACCTTGGGGTGGCTCCGGTGGAGTCTCGGTGCAGCCTTTTCAAGTCAGTTTAAGACATGTATTGGGATGTGATTCCCCTTCTGCCCTTTAGTACTTGCAGAACAGGTATCACCATCTCAGCTGGTTACTAGAGACTTCATTGATAGTCAGTGGAGAAAATAAGTTTATTCTAGGGCAGTTTTTTCTACGTGGGGAAGGAGCTGGGCACCAGTGCTACCTTCCCATCACTAATGGGTGGTCAAGATAGACCCAGGAGGTCTGTATTTGAGCTGATGCCTCGTTTCAGAGCTTCCCAGACAAAGCAGCCTTGGGCACCCAGTTGGTTGCTTTGACTTTTGAGAGCCCTCAAGCAGATCAGAGCTTGGGAGGTTGTGAGAAGGGAAGGCATCTTGCAGCAGCACTTCTGCTCTTTCACTTGGGAAGTTTTGAAGCACAAAACCAGCCTTTTCAGTGAAGACCTTGGTTAGACTTTGCTGTAATCGTAAAGGCTTTCTTGAGATGCAGTCCTGCTGAAGCACAGGAATTGAAGCCGTGACAGTGCAGAGGAGACCTCTCTTGTAGGAGAGCAATTCTGATATAAAAAATAGCAGGGTTAATTTTGATATCTATCTATCTAGCAGGACCAAAATTAACTTCAGCAGGATTTTATAAATGGAAAGAGTTAGAAGAACTATATGATCTAAAGGAATACTGAAACTCTGTTGCTGATACCTAGGTTTTAGGGGAGGGCAAAACACTAGATCTATTATCAGTAGCTAGTGTTTTTTCTTTGGAAAGCTGGGACTTCTCAAGACTTTTTCTTGAAATCGTTCTATAATGACCTTGATAGAAAGTATATAGTATGCGGTACTTAAAAATGGACATGAATTTCTTTCATAAATGTATGTCTTTTTGATCATGACTGTTCTAATCTATCTGCTTGTATTCCTTTCAAACTCTGTTTTATTCTTTTTTAGATGATAAAATTTGTGCTCATTTACTCGGAGTTAAATCTAAAGGAAACCCAGAAACATCCTCTGCACAATATATCCACACTTGCTAATTTCCAGTCACTTTAGCACCAAGAAAAAAAGTACTTTTTCTCCAACAGGCAACATGAACTAAAAACTATTTTCTGTTTTTACAGTATATTCACTCGTCAGGCATAATTCACAGGGTAAGTAGAAATAATATAAAATATGTTCATATTCTGATGATGTGATTGGCATTTCTGTGTAAGCATGCACAGAAATATGGCCAAGTTTATGTTTTGATTTTGCCCCTGTCTTTTGGTTGTTGTTTAATAGAACTGGTGATGGCTACAGCAGCGCAAATTGGACCCCCAAGTTGGACTGAAGTCATTTTAGACTTGGATTTCTTAAAAGCTCAGGTTCATAAAGGACTTAAAGCTCCATGAGAGCAAAAAGCATATAAATTAAGATGAATAGATTTCTTGCATTTTTAACAAAGGTTAGAGTCAACTTTGAAAAGCAGTGATGAAATGTTGTTTAAACCTCCTGTTATTGATTGAAGGATCAGGGGAGGAGTGAACATATGGGAATTGAAAAGAAAACCCCAAATTTTAGAGCCTTGAAAACCTCTTTTTTTTTCCCCTGAGGGAAATGAAACTGGGTGCATGATTCGTTTGGGATCCCTGTTGCCCACATTAAATCACTTCTGCGCTGAGGAAGAGGGAGCATTTGACTGGTGTCAGGTATCCTAAGTTCCCCAAAGACCCCATTTGCATCAGAACAATAGGAACTGGCCTTTCATTATAAAAATCAGGAGCACACAGAAAGTGCACGTGTTAAACAGCAGGTCTAGGACACACATGGAATTATGGCAGTTGCCAGGATAATTTGACAAGCAGATATTTCACTTGCCCTACTCTTGTAGTCGCGGTCTAAACATCCCGGTTGTTCCGACTCCTCCTGACTCCCTCTTGCGGCCTCTTGACCTTCCCGGTCCTGCGGCGGCTCCTCCGCACTCCGTCGCTTCTCTCTCAGGCCCTTTTCATCCCAGTCCACGGCCCGTGTGAAACTCCTGGGCACCGTTAAGTTCTGGGAGAAGAGGACTCCAAACAACTTGGGTGCTGAAGTGAAACAAACTGAGGATGCAAAAGCTGAGGGAAAACTTCACTCTGTAACTGTGGATATCTAAGAATCGTTAACATTACAGCTGCTCATCGAGCAGGGCCAGTACCCTCTGTTTTTTGCTGAGCTTCACCATGCAACTGCTGAAGATCAGCAGAAGTTTCTATAATGGTCACAGAGGGTTAGTTTTTTTGTTGGTTTGTTTTATGTTGCAGCCTTCATTCCATAGACTTGTTTTGTAAGGAATTTCATTTTCCAGAAGAGTATGGCTTTTACATATGAATCTAAAATTATTTTTAATTTATTCAAAACCCATTCTAGGTATATCAGGATAGGGAGTTTTTAAAGTAGATCTTGATATTCAATGTGTACAGTCCAGAAGTAGTGAAGGAAACTAATTTTACTCCGTTTGCCTATATGTGAATCATTAACTTTGCAGTACCATCAAATGGTACACAATTATGTTCAAACAACGTCCCCATTACGATGACTGAGTTCTTTTGCTAGAAAGTGTTTTTCTGACTTACAACTACTAATGCAACAAAAGTTAATTATTTGTTTAGGAGGAGAGGACCATAATGGAACAAAAAAAGCCGTACGTTACTCACATTTGTGTCTTTTCTTCTGTTCTTTGTTATGGTTAATCTTTTAATTTAGATCGATTACATTGCTTTACTTGTTGCTCTTCCAAGTAGTTGTATGAAAGCCCTCGAACCTAAGTGAGTGAATGCTTTCCCTTCAAAAAAGTGTGCTTCTTTTCTATCTGCTGCAAAATAAATAAAATCAATTTCAAATCTGATTATATCTACAGGATCTGAAACCTGGAAACCTGGCAGTAAATGAAGACTGTGAATTGAAGGTAAGATCTATTTATTTGAAACAAATAATGAATACAAATAAAAGATCTGTTTATTTGAAACAAATAATGTGTTGGAATATACACCACAATACAAATTCAAATTAATATACACTACAGAAAACAAGGTGGGCTGCAGCTATAGACATTGATAACTGTTTTCATTGGTAGTCCAGGATTTCAACTGATGAGTTTTGAGAAGGGTTGAATAGTGGAAAATGAAGGCAAAAGGATCAGATGATGGCAACAGTCTTCAAAAATATGGGAAACTGCTGCTTATAATTATATTGCCATTACTTAAGTTTAGCTAACACATTTAATAAAATATTAAATAATTATTTAAGAAATAAAGCCCTGAATGGTGGGAATTTGATATTCTCCTATTTGCATGGGTTTGATGGAAATAAATGTGTGTTTATTCCAAATGGCAGATGTGGTGATAATTTCTAAGATCATTCTGGAGCGGGGCGCAAGAAATGGCTCTGATTAGAAATGTTGCCCGGAGCATCAATAATAAAGACATTAGGTCCAGATAGGAATTCTAATGTCTTTATTACTGATGTTCCAGATAGGAAGCTCTGGGAAAACAGCCTGGGGTGTTAGTGGGGAGCAGATGTGGACGAGTGCAAGTGACTTCGAGGTCACAGAGTGGTGGTTGCTGGTAGGGCTGTTCCTCAAGCTGTATTCCTGACATTGCTGCACTGACCTCGGTGCCTCCGCTGGGTGAAGGGCCGTGTCAGGGCTGGAAGTGTCACCTTCTGGCTCCGCATCCATGCAGGAGTCTGCAGCGGCCCTGGGCACAGGCTCCTGCGGGTGCCTCACTGCCCTCTGCATCTTCCCATGTGCCGCACGTAGGTTGCAGTGAATCCTCTGACATTACTAGGCAGTCATTTAATTAAAAAGAGTTTTTGAGAAGAAAATTGTGTTTTAAGAGCTGTAATGGAGAACTGTGTTTATGATAGCTAATCACTTCAGGGAGTTGTACGGGGAATCAAATGCTGCTCAGCATGAATCAGAACGTGTGATTTTCTTTAAAGTGATTGCTCTTGCACTATTAAAACTTAGCACTAGCATTAGTATCAGTTGCATGTAGACTGCACTGTCGTTTCTAGCAGTATCAGTCCTGCTTGATTTTTGCTCTTACCTGAAAAAATAAACCATTAGGAGTATCAGCTGCTAATGCAGCTCCTGGTAGTTCAGCTGGTTGCTGTTCCTCCGTGTTCTGCATGGCAAGGCTGGCACTGACCGGTGTTTCTTGCATCACTTGTTTCCTGCTTATCCATATGGTAGGGAATCTTGATGACGCTCTCCTGTTCTACCCATCTGAGCTGCCTTCCTTTCAAGATGGGTAGGAGGGTGATGCACAGCCAGGTCCCTTTCCAGGTGGAAACTGGACATACCTGGCATGTGGTCTCATGGCCAGGGCTGTGGCGCTCGCTCTGGGAGGTGTCTGTGCTGAAGTGTGGATGGTGCCTCCTCATCCCTCCTTGCACATCATTCTCAACAGAGTCCATCTGAATAGTAATTCCTCCCCTGAACACGGGGGTACTATCAGGTGAAGCCTCCTTTTACACCATTAAACTGAAATACTGAACCTGACCTGCTTAGTTTTATTATCCAGTTACTTACTGCTCTTGGGAGTCTTCCCATTCACTCTGTTTGGGAATGTAATATTTGTACCCTGATAATTATGTAAAGAGATAATTGTGCAAAGTGTCCTGACCTAGCAAAATGTAACTGCTTGTGTTGAATATTAAAAGAGCAAATAATTCATTATTAAGTAGACTTTTATAGTAGTCATTGCTGCTCAGTTTATGCTGCTCATTCCCGTCATTGGAGGGAGGGAAGGCTCATGCTGCTTCTAGTCCCCAGTTAATTCCGTTCGCATAATTTAATAGATCAGTATTAATTTTCTAGAATGGTTTTTGTCCTCTGTGTTCTCATAGTTCCAGCAGTCTGCACATCCAGCTCCTTTTCTCCTGCTAGTTACTCAGTCAGGCTTCCTCTGCTCAGTGAATCCCAGTACATCCCAACTGGCCTGTGCATCTTGAACTGCGACGAGGCTTCTCCTAACATGTAATTCTGGACTTGGCATTCAGAACTTAAGACCCAGCTTCCCCTCTTAGAAGAGATGAGTAAGGCTTTATGGGAGGTATTTGGTTACACGTGAGTTCCAGCTTAGAATAAATAGAAGGAGCTGGGAGATAAAGAATCAGATCAAAGGTTGGAAAGCTCTCCCTTAAATAAAAAAATGAAATAAATATTAAATAAAATAAAAGTGGGTGGAACACTGCGAAGATGAGTTTTAGTGCAGAATGTACCAGTTCTGCACTAGGTGATGTAATACAATGTTATACTCTTCAGAAACTCAGTAGAACGTGTTTGAACGCTCAGGATCCTGTTAAGATTTCCCTGTTTAAGAAAAAAAGAACCGTCTCCCTCTGGCCCTTGAAAATACGTTGCCAAACTATGAATAGGTGCCAGTGTGACAGGGGAAACAGTCTTGGCCAGGCAGTTCCTCATGTGCAGTTCTCCCCGCTCCCAACCCCCAAGCTCCAGGATTATGCAGCCCACGTCAGGGCCATTCCTTCATGATGTGATCACTGCTTTTCTTTACTTAACACAACTTATTTTCCCGTTACCTTGGATATTCTGACACTCCTAGATAAATCAAAGCAAGTCATTCCACATCAGAAGATCTTTTTGTGAAATGGCAAGGGAAAAATATAGGGTTGAGGCTTCATTTTCCCATTTCCCAACAGCCAGAGTGTATTCTACAGACCAGGGTTTTGAAATTATTTCTGATATAATGTACAGAAGAAATATCCAAACCTGCAATTAGGATATAAATGGATGTTAAAATGCTGCTGCAATCTTTGAACAGAAAGCAGCACATACCATTATGTGCATTGAGAGGTATGCTTAGAGGGGAGATATGGAAGTGATGCTTTAAATGTGGCAAGGAAGATAAGCTTTTACGCTCATATTTTCTCTTTGTGATTCAAGAAAAAATATATAGTTTTTCTTGTTTGTTATCGCTAGGGAAAGATGAATCTATCCTTTTTTTTTTTAAATAAAAGGAAGTATTTTTAAATATTTAATTTATGTGGGGGCATTGCAGATTCATCACCATGGTACACAGGTGCTTCTGGTGAAAATTTCCACCCCAAAATACACACATGAAACCCAGTATCTGTGGGAACCAGTGGCTGTTCATGCCAAAATGTGTGTTTGAGTATCTGTGGATGGGGATGGTTGATTTTGAATTTTTTTTCTCACACAAGGGCTGCCTTCTCCTGTTAGTATCAAGAATTTACTGGTAAACCCACTGTCATACCAGGAATGGACCTCAGCCTTGGCAAAATGCACCTTTTGCAGGTCCATACATCTGGGCCATCGTGTTAGCCAGTTTCATAGGAGCTGACAAAAGACTGTAACATTTCATTTTATTCTTGCTGCCATAGACTTTAATATAGTTGAAGATAAATATGTGTGAGGTTCAGAAACGAGCTGAATTGTATGTAATCCTTTAAAAAAAAGTACTGACCTTGAGTTTCTTACAGAGGAGTGTTCTGTAATTAAGCAGCAGGTTAAAATTCAGAGGAACAAAATGATGGCAATTCCCTGTTCTTACTGCAGATTTTTGGTGTGACCATGAGAAGGCTTTTCTTTGCATTATTATTCATGAAATGAGGATAATGGTACCTCTTCTTCAGAATTAGAGCTGTTCTTAAGAACGGTGTCACCCGGGGTAGGGGCTCAGTGAATGCTGCATCACCACACAGAGTGGGTGCTGGTCTCTCATCCTTGACAAGATGGGATAGTCGTCCTGTGGTCAGGGAGTTTTTGCTTTCAATGGGAGCTGTATCTTCATAACCAAAATTGAAGCCTTTATTGTTTTCTTTACTGGTAGTGTTCCAGCTTGTCCTGTTGCTATAGAAGAAACTGATAGGAAAAAAAAAAAAAAACAATTCTAATGTTCCTTGCTACTTCTGGATTAGAAAACGAGAACAAGGTACTTTGATGAGCAAAAGATACAGAAATAAACCCATCTCTGCAGACTCTCTCTCTCGTTTTATTTTCCATATTTGAAAAGCCTGTGTGAAATATGTATGAAATAGGCTGTCTGATCGGGATGTTCTTCACAATTCCCTTGCAGATTCTGGATTTTGGGCTGGCCAGGCACACGGACAGTGAGATGACAGGTTACGTGGTGACAAGGTGGTACCGAGCCCCCGAGGTCATACTCAACTGGATGCATTACACACAAACAGGTGGGCAGGTTTGCAGAACAGACCAGGAGAGCTGCCCGAATCGGGCAGCATTTAGCCACGTCCCGGTTTCTGAAGTGCAGAAGGAACTGGAGGTGGAAATAACAGTATAATTGTGAAATACTTCCTTGTAGATGAATTGCAGGTAGTGATCTGGGGGTTATTTTGTTAGTGTTGTCTGAGGCTAACAGAAAATCCCAAGGTTGTTGGAAAATAAACCCCATAGATTTACCCAGATGCAACGACCTGGTCTGCATGCTGGTGCTCCCCTTGCCTGTGACCTTTCTGCAGGATGGGCAGCCTGTACCTCAGACTGACAGGGATAAATGGTAGGAAGAGAGGATTCAAGTAATCCCATGGAAGCTGTGAAAGCACGGAAAAAATGATTTCCTGCATACATCTGCTTGTTAGTGAGAAACTGCTTCTGTCTAATATTAAATGATCCTTACTTTGCTAAGCAAAAAGACTAACATAAGACTAGTCTTATATGTCCTGTTTATCATGGCCACAAGGCACACATTTATTTTATAAAAGATTATAAATGTAAACAATATTCTGCTGTAAAATGTAATTCAAATTAAACTTTATCTGTCTTTGAATGGGCAGCTATTCAGCAATTGCCTGTTGCTGTGTTTTCTCTTGTCAGTGGACATCTGGTCTGTGGGCTGTATAATGGCTGAGATGATAACTGGGAGGCCTCTGTTCAAAGGAAACGATCGTATCCTTCCTCAGTGGATTGATGGCACCAAGATAAGCGGATGATGAAAGGTGCTTGTGCAGTGCAGTCTGTCCAGAATCTGATGAACAGTGATTGAAAATAACAGTCAAGTGACTCTCACCTTGTTACCATGTGCATTCTTTAATATTGTGCTGAGTTTACACATCTGCAAATTAAAATGGGTATTCCAGGACATTTTTACTGGAGAGAGGTGACCTCTGATTCATGTCTTGAGTCGAGTGAGTGATTCAGTGTTCACAGAAAGGACATTTTTCTCTATTATTTTCTCTTTTATTAATACCAGGTTCCTGAGCTCCTGAGCACGCGACGTGCAGAGCAGTCTGGTGTTGTGTGTGGACCTCGGGGCACGTGAGGCTCCATTTCATGTTCTTTGAGACTCCTACCAAAAATTGTTGTGGTCTAATCAGACGTTTTAGGTACACGGAAAACACAGCCACCTCATTTCCTTGCTGAGGAATTAAGAAAATAGTTAAGATCAAGCCAAACTTAAACATGTGAATGATACTTCATTGCGAATAGTTGTGGTAGTTACGCAGCATTAATCGAGGACAACAAGGGTATTTTTTGCTTTTTTGTTTTTGCTGCTCATATGTCTGGCCTGTCTGACAGCTGAGCCCAATCATTTGGCACTGCTCTTCCTCTTGTGGAGTTTCAGTCAATACAGAGCCGACCCTGGGAGTCCTTGTTTAAATTTTTTATAAATATGCTCTATATTTAAGTCCCTCCTTGTAAGTCTGAGACTTCATTCCAGGCTCTTAATATTCTGCCTGTGAAGGAAAAATAAATAAATAAATAAAATTGTATTTACAGATAAAATGGCAAGGGTATGGAAAGAAGAAGCCATCAGATTATTTTGGCTGTACAGTTTTTAAATATGTTTCACTTTTTAACAAGAAAATAGTAAAATACTTGATAAAGGACAACAGTTGACTAACAAAATATCATTTCTCTGCTAATGGTAACCCTGAAAATTCTGGTGCATAAATAAGAAATTAATGAGTCATAATTTTCAAGTTGCCCTGTAAATGTAAGAGTACAAAAGCTAGTTGTACTGGATTTGGGATTTTCAGGATTATTGTTAAAACTCTATGGCCAGTGTTATAAAGGAAATTATCCTAATGTAGTTGGCCCTGCTGGCCCTCAGATGTATGGGTCAATTTTACCTGTCTTCAGGGCAATACAGCTGTGAATTCAGCTATGAGTAGGTGAGGAAAAAATAGGGGGAAAAATGGTTTTTATTTTATTACGTTTTACGTGCAAACTCAGTGTGGGAGTTTTTGTTTGTTTGTTTGAGGAATCGAGCAATGCAGGTGGGAAATGAGGAGGAAGTTGCCCAGTGTGATCAAGAATTAACAAAGACTGGTTTCCTCTCATTTTTTGTTATACAACTTATAGACACATAGTAAATTTTGGACCAGTTTTGACCAAAAGTATTTGAGGGGGCCAGAAAACATTAGAGGAGTTTGGTGAAAGAGTTTGTTCCTTATTGCTGGTATTCAGATCTGGACCAACTCACTGAAATAATGAAAATCACAGGCACACCAACTCAGGAGTTTGTTCAAAAGCTGCAGAGTCAAGATGTGAGTATTCTGCCTTCCCAGCTTGGTTTATGGGCCTCCATTTTACTTAAACCTTGATCCGCTCCGATGACTGACTGCAATAATATGAAGTGACCTCTCATAGTGCATGTGCAACTTGAAGTGCTTTGGGAACTCAGGATAGCTACAGGAGATTAAAGGGAACTAGAAAACAACTAGAACACCTGAAAAATCTATGCATTAAAATACTTTGATGTAATAATAATAATTACATTATATAATAATAAGTAAGTAATACTTTTACTTTTTAAAAGTTCCCAGGCTGATCTGTTACGACATTTATTGGAAGCATAGTGAAAATATGAACCTATTAATTTCATATTTCAGATGGCTCTGACTTCATCCTTTCTATTCTGAAAGTCTTTATGAAGTCCTTAAACCCTATAAACTCTATAAGGGGTAGAAGCCCTATAAGCACCTGAAATTAATCTTTAGACTAACTGTACAATTTGAATACTAAGAAGTTACTTTAAAAGATAGACTTCTAAAGATTACTGTAATCTACAGAAAGTATGGCTTTTATTCTTTCAAATGATGCCTACATATTTATTTTAATTAATGTATTAAATATTAAGAACTGATAATTTAAGTTTCTAATACCATTTCTGCATTCCAATCTTGAGACTTGAGTTAAAATATTCTTCTCAGCAAGGATCTGTGCATAATCAGCATATATAAGTATAGGAAAAAAATAACAAATCCATTTGTACAGTGCAGTGTCAAAGTATCATTAAATGTTGTCTGTTAGGCGTAAGGTGAATGTTGTCACAAAGTCAAATTTCTAACTCAAAATTCTTGTTCCTTTTAAGGCAAAAAACTATATCAAGAGCCTCCCAAAGGTTCAGAAGAAGGATTTTGCATCCATCTTGAAGTACGCGAATCCTTTGGGTAAGGTAGCTGGTGTGTTGTGTGCAGCTTGTGCTGCTGTTCTTGTGCTTGTGCTGGAGGCAGCAGCAGTAGCATCGGTCACAGGGTAACCCTGACAGCTACGTGGTGCTTCTCGTGCTCTTCTACCTCTTGCTTTCCATAATTCAAAACTCTGATTTTAAGGGCTGAATTTAGCCAAGTTAATCCCTGCCAGGAATCAGGTGTTTCTTAGAAGAGCTGAAAGGAAACCTTAGGATGTTCTTTGGTGCTTTAGGCTCTGATCCAGGCTATGCTAGATGTTTTTGCTGGATCTACTTTCTCAAGAGTGCTGCGAAACCAAATGTCTGTAATATTTTTTCTATGTATTATATTTGAAATACAGTTCCGAAAGCTGATTCTAATTCATAATAGACATGCAAGCAAATAGAAAGGTGACATTTCAGTGATGGAATGAAAGCTTTATCTGGGCATTCCTAAGAAGAACTGACTTGTATTGGATAGATAAGAAAAGCTACAAGCACACCAAGCCTGCACGACTGTGACGTGACAGCCAGGGCCTTGGTCTGCCCAAACCTTTATGTCCTCCAGCAGCCTGAGCACTCAAAAGGCTAGGTTTTATTAAAATATAAATTAGGATAACTGAGTTTTCTCTATTTAAGAAGTTAAAACAATAAAGCTAGCTGCAGTAAAAATCTATAGGGTCAATAAACCTACATTAATAGGTCCATAATTCTTACCTGACTGCTTGGTTAACCTGCAGAGCTTTTGAGCTGCAGGAGACTCCACACAGGAATTCCCATGTAGTTTTTGGAAGCTTCTTCACGTCCCCTTTGAGCCTGCCTGGCTGCCCCTTCCCAGGAGAGCAATTGGCAGGAAGGCTGGAGAGAATCCAGCCTCAGGCTCCGCTCCCTGACAGATGCTGCTGCCTCTCCCCTTTCAGGGTGTTTCTCTTGACCCAGGAACCTTCTTACAGGAATCGAATATGAAAAAGGGAGAATTAACAAATCTCTTCTGCTTTCCCTAACTCCTTCAGATAGTCTCATATAGCACCTGATGCAGAATCCACTGAAGAGGGACATAATGTTTTTCTTTATTGCTGAATAGCTGTAAACCTCTTGGAGAAGATGCTAGTGCTGGATGCAGAGAAGAGAGTCACGGCAGCTGAGGCTTTGCTGCATCCTTACTTTGAGCCCATTCATGATCTTGAGGAAGAAATCGAAGCCGAGAAATACGATGACACGTTTGATAACATGGATCTTCCACTGGATGAATGGAAGCGTGAGTTCAGTTCTGTGATGGGTTTAGAAGGGAGCAGATAGAAAGTTCACCCGAATAACTCATAAATTATGAGTAAGCCAACAGCAGTAAGACTGAGAAACACTGTGATGCTCCCCGTGCTGCAGAGCCCCTGCTTTCTGCCTCCCTCGGAGGGCACCTCCTGTGCAGTATGGGCTTCTTCAAGTCTGAAATGGTGTCTTGGGATAAAATGGTCCTTAATTTCTTTACTCCTGGTACTCTTTCTACTTCTCTCCCTTCCTCCCCTGGATGACAGAGTGCCCACCCTGGGTTGCCCCTTGCCCTGCTCTGTGAAGCTCCTTTTCTCAGGATGCCAGCTATTTCTCTTCTCTGTTTTGTGTTCTTTTTTTTCCAGGTATCACATATAAGGAGATACTGAACTTCAAGCCACCACAAACCTCAGAGTCAAAGGAGACAGCGGTGTAATGGTCTGGCTTGATCCTCTCAGAAGAAAAGTTGTAAATGTTTGTGATATTTCAGGTGTATAAAACTTTTATAGATAAACTGGATGTAATCTATTTGATCTGCACTGTTAGAAAGCAAGGTCCGTTACTCTGCTTGTGAAAGCTGATGCCATTGGGAATAGCATTGCAAACCTATCCAGAAACTTACTTCTACCCACATCTCCCTTCCACATGAAAGAGTTCAGACTGGGATAACACAGCATCCTCTTCAAAAGAGCAGGTGGAAGGACATCTTCAAGTCAGAGGCCGGGAGAGTGCCTGTTACCATGCTGAACAAGCTGAGACAAGACTTTATCACTGACACACAGAGAGTACACTCCAAGGCCAGTGACCTGTCTTCAACACTGGAAGCGTTAGCACAAGTTCCTCTGGGCTATTCCACCTTGATGAGGTGCCTGGAGAGGCTCAGGAGCCTCTTTTAGCTCAGCTAGTGCAGTGGTAGTGGAGCTACAGCCTGAATGAATATTTCCCTTGTCCAACATGAGCGGAGGTCTAAGCTCCAGCCAAGTCTGGCAGATTTTGCACGAGGCATGAGCAGAGAAGTGTCAGTGTCCCAGATTTTTGCAAAGTAACCAGTGTAGTAGGACAAGATTTCCCAAATGTGCAAAGTGAACTGTATCGAGATATACAGTCACTTTCAGGGGGTAGAGTATTTTAACCTGAATATAGTGCAGTTTCTTTTAATAGACCAGGGGTCAAGGATTTCCAGGGAGAAACTATACAGTTTTCTAAAATTTAGTAATTTTCTAGCATTTTAGTATTGAAACAATCACTGAAAAATGATTCTGCTTCTTGGGGGGGTTGGGGATAGTCACTAGAGAATCAGCAGTGCTGACGTTAGACATAAGGTTGCATGCAGATCACATTGTAGAAAATGAGAGAAGAAATACGACAGTGCAGCTGTTCTCGTGACCCGCAGCAAGTTGTTTTGTTCACAGTGTATAGAGGTGATGCCAGGTGCGGAGTAATGGCTGTTTCCTTTTTTAGCCTTTGGAAGTCATCTTAATTTCTAGGGGGAGCGGAGGGTGGCAAAGGGGGCACCTCAGAGTCACAGAATGGTTGAGGTTGGAAGGGACCTCTAGAGATCACCTAGTATAACCCCCTGCTCCAGCAGGGACACCCTGAGCACGGGGCACAGGGTGGCATCCAGGCGGATTTTGAAGACCTCCAGAGAAGGAGACTCCACAACCTCCCTGGGCAGCCTGTTCCAGGGCTCTGTCACCCTCACAGGAAAGAAGTTCTTCCTCACCTGGAGATGGAACTGCCTGGGTTTCAACTTGTGTCCATTACCCCTTGTCCTGTCACTGGCCACCACTGAGAATAGTTTGGCCCGTTCCTTCCTACATTCCCCCTTCAGTTATTTGTACATAGAGCAGGAGGCTCCCTCTGGAGCTCCTGCAGGATAAGTGGTGAGGCTCTCTGTAAGCCCCTCTTATTATCCGTGTTCATTCATTGCATTTTCCTAGGTGCTTAGTTCATAATAATCTCTCATAGAAGAAGGAAGTGGTCAGAGTTGTGGGATGCAGGGGTTTCTGTGGGATTGCTGCCCTTGTTAAATGTGAGCTCTTCAGCTCTTTGCTTAGGTGTGATTCCCACTGCAATTTGCTCTTGTGTGTTACTGCTGAGTCCTACAGCAACTGTGCAGGAACACAAACAATCCTAGCAGAAGAAGAAACCTTAAAGTCTGAAAAATAACCAAGAAGTCACTTGGGTTTTGCTTTAGTAAGCATCTTAGAGCAGCAGTTTAATCAAGTTGTCATTGTTCTGTTTGTCTTAATACTTTAGTTAAACAGCTGTAAATATCCGTGTTGACTTAAAAATATTTTTGATGGACACTGATCAGCTGAGACAGGCACTGAGGGAACCTACATGGTAACAGAAACAAGCCCGTGCTGGGCTCGAACAGCCATTAAAAGCGATTGCTTCAGGAATGCCTGGAAGAGCCAGCACCGAAGGGGACTGGAAACAAAACGTTTTTTCCACGCTACAGGTCCCTGAGGGATCCACACAGCAGAGTCATAGGCAGCCCTGCTACTCACTTGCTGTTCGGGCTCCACGGTCACGTTAATAGGAACTTTGGTTTTACTTAATCAATGTTTTCTCTTTTAGGACCGTGACCTGTAGTCCTCCTAAAATTCAAGGGAGAAAAGTACCTTTTGGAGTTAGGAGTTTTTGATAGAGCCAGTCGAGAAAGATACAAGAATATCAATATTACTTTGAAAATGTTTCCTTTGTACTTCAAATGCAGTTTCAACAGCTATATCCTGGCAGATGCCTGAAGTCTAGAGATGACAGAGGTTGAGGTTGGAAGGGCCCTCTAGAGATCACTTAGTCCAACCCCCTGCTCCAGCAGGGACACCCAGAGCACGGGGCACACGGTGGCATCCGAGAGGGTTTGGAAGATCTCCAGAGAAGGAGACTCCACAGCCTCCCTGGGCAGCCTGTTCCAGGGTTCTGGCACCCTCACAGGAACGAAGCTCTTCCTCACATGGAAATGGAACTGCCTGTGTTGATTTCAATTTGGTGCAAAAGCTAGTCAGACATGGAGCATTTTTTCATTAAAAAATTGGTTTGCAGGGTTTTTTTCCCTTAAATACCAACACTTTATTTGACTTTATAACTGTGTTTGTCCCTCTGCTTTAGTGAAATCAAGTCCTATAAAACTCCGTTGGCTGAGGTGGATTTCTGCTTCTCTGGCAGTGACTTAGAATTGTAGAAACAGCTGGCCCATGAGATAATAAAGAAAAAATTATTGTTTTTCTAGATACTCGAGGAATACAAAACTCTTAAAATAACTGAAGAGAAGACCTTGATGTGTGTGCTAGCAAGGGCAGAAGTAGTAAATTACTACTATGCTGGTTTCTCAGTAAAAAAAGTTTGAAAGGTAAAATAACAAACACTAGCAAAGGTTCTTCAATCTTAACGTGATGTTTCTGCAAAGAGATTGAAATACAAAAGCTCTGCTCAAAACAGCATTAGAGAGCATTAGTATAAATAGCTCATTAAACAAAATGTGGGGAAAAGAGAATTATTTTGCATGGGAAGCAGCTGCTGCTTCAAAGGGAGAGGTTTTTATTTGCTATTTCTACTGGTGCTAAGCAACTCAGGAATAAGAACCCAATTTCTGTTTGCCTTAAGGAGAAATGTAAATATGTTGTGCATGCACTTGAAATGTATTGTGAAAAATAAATGTTTTTGGGTTTCTTTTTTTTTTTTCATCATAATGGTCTTATTTTCCCCATGTGAATCCCCAGTGTGTAATCATTCCTAAAAATACTATTTTCAGTATAAAGAAATGGTGTGAAACCTAGTATTTTAGATACATTTCATGTAACATGAGCTGCTGACACAGCTTGTTTCAGCAATCAGGCAGACCACAAATCCTAAACCTTTCTCCATTTCCAAAACTGCAAGTCAGCCTCAGGACTGGCTTGACTGTTCTGTTGCCATCTGTGTCTTAGAGCATCTTTGATTTTTCCAGATGCCTCTGCTTGGTTCTGAAGAAGAACATTGCACTGCATGAGCACACATTGCCCAGCATGATGTTAAGAGCTGTAGACTGAGAGAATCCTGAGAGGATGAGGAGGCCTCTCTCACATCTCAACCCCTGAGCTGGAAGGGGAGGTCACAGTTAGCAGAGCTCTAGCAGCACATGTGGGACCAAGCCTGGAAAATACATACATTTCCTGACTGCTTTAGAGCAGAAATTGTCCCACTAAATACTCCAGCACTGAAGAGTTGTTGTTCATGTTCAGTTTTGAAAATGGTGAGAAATTTCTGGACCTGGACACTTGTGGCTCGCACTTTAATTTGTTGATTATTTTCTCTTTTATTCTTGGGTAACCGAGGTGAGTGTCTTGGCGGTGCACGCTTTGGTATGGCTTGCAAAATATCTTTAGAAGATGCGCTTTGTTTCAGAGGAAATAAATACATGAGCCAGGTGGGTGTTTTGAACTCTCTGCTCTCTTTGATCAGCTGTTCAGACACAAACATCAGAGGTCCCTGGCTGCTCCAGCTGAGGTTGCCCAGGACCTGTTAGGTCTGAGCCCGTGGTGGATGTTTCCATTCACTGGATCTTGGCATGAAATACTCCCACAAATCTGCCATGGGGCTATTGCATGTCTGAGGTCCAGTAAGTAAAAAATTCACATTATTCACAGTTTTTAATCACTTGAATTTGAATAGTACTACTAGGAGAACGAGAATGGAAAGGGTAGTTGTGGGGGGCTCATTTTCTGAGAAAGGTTGTTCAGCAAGGAACAGGGACAGAACAGAGGCTCCTAACACCTGCTGTCCCTGCTCATTAGTTCTCCATCTCCTGAGCACACTATAAGGCACCCGATTGTGCAGTCAAATATTATCAGAAGCTATTCTAGAGGTTGCCCCACTTAAAATCTCTTCCTAAGTATTTTTAAGAAATAAGAAGCATGGGTCTGAGAAAAAAAAAATAAGACATCACAGAGACACCTTTTGGAACTGCATGGACTAGCAGTTAATGAGCAGCTGTTCTGCACAGAAATTTGCAGTTTTCTGGGATGGCAACAAAATGATCTGAAAACTAATGTGCCATTTAGCAACCACATGTAGTTCTCATGCATGGGAACGATGGCCTAGAATTTAGCTATCAAAACCAGCATCTCTGTATGGAGGCAAATGGGGACAAGTAAGTAAAGGATTCATTATTTTATTGAAGTAGTCGGCAGTGAAACAATCAAATGTGTAGTGAAAGAAATCAGATTCTGTTTGAAATTTTTCCCTTTTTTTTGCTGTGGAATATTTCCTTGGAGGTAAATAGTGTATAAATGTAGGGAGAGACAATATGTCTTGAGAAGGAGAGCCAGAAGAATATTTACTAAGGCTTTCTCTAAAGCAAACCCCTATCAAGATTTAGAATATGTTATAAAACACGGTTCAGTTATAAGGAATTAAAATGGCCACTCAGCAATAATTTAAACAATGCCTGAAGGAATCAAATATTTTCAGTTACAATTTTAACTCTTGGAGGATGCCAAGGAGCACTGTTTAAGGCAGAAAAATCACACTGTATAAATATTCAATTAAAAGAAGGCATGACTGCTGTTGACTAAATGTCTGCTGCCCCTAAAGTAGGGCACTTCCTTAGGAATAGCTGTGTGTGTGATAAGGGAGGCAGGAGAACACCACAGGGAGTTGCCCAGGATGTAGGTCAAACTACACATTCACAGAATGAGAGGATGAAGCCAGGCAAATGGGGCTAGGCTTAAATGACTGCATTAGATACATACATCTCCAGTGGATGGGATATCTATGGTTTTTAATTCCGAAATTTTTGGGCAACAACTTAAATACAACAAAATTCATCTTGTGGGTTTACCGTAGTGCAAGTCTGTCCGTAGTGCAATTTACCTAGATGATTTTAATTCCCTTTTTTTGTCTATGTGTTCTATTACATAGGCTTCATGCTATTTTTCTTCTTCTGTATGCCAGCAGAATAAGAGGGCTAAACCACTAAGGATAAAAATAAACTTTAAATTCCTCCTTAGTCCTCAAAATATCTTCTCTGCTAAACTATCTGCCCCTCTGTAGTTCTCATAATGAGAACAGCCTCCCGTGGCTACTGTTATCGATCTTTGGTCACGGTAACCAGCATGAAACCCTTAAAATCTAGAGAATGAAAATGGCTCCTTTTGCAAAAATCAGCCTCTCCTAATAAACCTTCAAGTTAATTTTTTCTCTTGTTCAGGTCTTCCTCCTTGAGCTTCATGTAATAAAC